TGAGCATGATGATCTGATACAGTAATTTGATCTGGTACTTGTATAGTGACCACTATTAAGTAATATTAACATCTGTGCAATTAAATGCCAGAATTGATCAATGACTAAAAACCAAGCTTACTTAATGCTTTCACAGACAACCTGTTCTTTCAGAAACAACAATTTGTATATTGCAAACAAATTGAAAGCATGTGTATTGATCCTTCTTTTAAATGCTAAATATTTTATCAGTTTTCAGTTTGTCAAAAAGTGTGAAAAATTTAGTACCGTTCTTTTACCAGAAAGGCATCTTATCTTGAAACAGAATATGCAGAAATGATCACAAGTATTACCTACTGGAGCCTCTTCAAATGGTAGAATAGAAAAGGCTGTTGAGATATGGCTTGGCATCACTTTGAGTTGTACCTAGCAGAATTCACATGATGCCATTGCATAGGAAGGATAAATCTTTTTGAATCCAGTCAATTTTCCTTAAACAGTCCTGTATGAGGCATCATTTTCATTAGGTAGATAACCCTGATATACTTTGCATAATCCAAATAATCTTACTTCAACCCTTTTGAAATCATATTAATAGAGATTGTGGGTATATGGCTGCTAGAAATTTGTGTAAGTAATAAGATGTACAAGAAATAAAGGTAAATATAATTTTCTTACATTTTATTTTGCAGAGTATTTTTGTTACTTCCATGCCTTTTGTGATTAGTCATTTTATTATGATTGCCATTATAATATACAAGTACTGTTTATCATTTATACTTGAATTATTAATCTCCACAATTTAAAAATATTTGAAAAGCCTAAAATTGATTACAGATTACACCCTCAAAAAATTGCACCTAGATTTAGTAAAACAATTATTAAAAAATTTGGAAGTGTTCAGATTTTATTGAAGACTGAGTTTCGTCATGTGCTTGTTTTTGCCTAAGTTACAGATAACGAGTCTAATTTGACATTCAAATTAGAACAAAATTAACATTCTTGTTCATAGCAAGAGTAGTTTGTAACAGTTGTAAGAAGACATTTCTTCCAGTGCTTTACTGAACCTGGTTTGTGATAGACTGTCCCATAATGTCAGAATAAGTAATATTTTACAAAAATGTTAGCAAAGGTTTTAATGAAAGAAGACTTTGAGAAATATGATGATGATGTCTATAGTGAATTAGAAGATGAAAATTTCGAAGACAGTAGTGAACTAGAAAGGGATGATCATGGTGAATTATTTTCAATTCATTTAATATTACAAGATTTAAAGGCATACCAGATGCATATTGAGCAGTTACAGTGAATGTTCTAGTGAAGAATTTCCAAGATTTGGAAGGAAAAAGAAAATCTCGCTGAAGTAAAACAATTTTGTGTAATACCTGGGATCAGTTCTGTATGTCTGCATAGACTGATAATACTGTGGCTTCAGATGTTTTGAAAGAAGTCCTAAATGAAGACTTTAGGGATATTATAGTAGTAAGAGACAAATGAATAAATGAATTCTCAAGTAATAAATAAATAAATTCTCACACAAAATTACTGCCTTTTTATGTACTTTTCAGCAAATCAAATCTGTTCTAAATTCAAGATTTTTTTCAAATAAATCTTTGCCCAAGGGGTTAATATGGTTTATTACTAGAGATTATAACTGGAGATTGCCCAGTTTGAATAGTGATATATTCTGTAGGATACTAGATGACTATCCATCTGGACTAACATAAGATTATTATACATCTTCTATATATCTGAAAAGTGAAAATATGAAATTTAATTCTATAAAAATATTTCATATATTTAATTAACTATATCATGAATTAAATGCAATAGTATTTAACTGAATCAGATTCAGGTGTAAGAAAATAATATTCTTAAGAATGACATGTATTGCTTTCAGATAGCCTATCAATAGCAGACAGATTGAAGTTGCAAGATAAATAATCTTACATTTTGAAGAATGGGAATAGCCTTGAAAGAAAAGTGAAACAACACAAAATCACATTTTGAGGCTAATAGCCCTAAGGGTTTAAAAAAAAGTATTTCCTAGAAAAGAACTTTCACGACAATTTTAAAGTTCAGATTTCAAGATACTAAAGCACATAAAAATAAGGCCATGTAGAAATATGCAATATATGTAAGAAGTTTAAAGCAGCTACAGTACATGTATGTTAATTTTTTTTTTTTTTTTTTTTTAAGGAAAAGAAAGGCAGATATGGAAAACACAGAATGTTCAGTGGGGGGAAAAGCACCGAGTAGAAAGTCCATAGAAATAAACGTGTTGCAGAATAAATTATAACAAACTTCCACATATAGTTATTCTTGTATTTAGTTCTCGTTGCCATATTTCAGAAATTGCTGTTAGTGCCTTTCTTCTGTCTGCAGTTTTTAATGTCCAGTCGTCAAGTACTATTATAATTAATATGTAGGTGTATTTTGAGATCTTTCTTTCATGTTCTGTTATGAGGAAAATTACATTTTTCTTTAAAGAATACTGCTGCACTTTTCTGATTTCTAGGTAAAACATATTGTACATTTAAAAGCAAGGTACAAACAAAATCAGGAGTTTTTATTTATTTATTTATTTATTTTTGTTCAATATCTTATTAAATTAGTGGTTTTCAAAGTAGCAAAACCTGTTATTCGATGATATTAAGAAATATAATACATATTTTACACATAAATTGGTATACTAATTAATAGATATATAAATTTTAGGTACTTTTCCTGTTTTGCTGGCACAAACGATAAAGTCGCCAATAATGGTACAACTGATGCCAAATGGAATATCTTCGCTGGTAAACTTTTACCCTTCATTTTCAAAACAAGTCGCAGCCATTTCTTATCAGATCAATTGTTTCTTTCAATACTGGCATACAATTACATAGAATTTTTACTGGTTAAATTGTATGTCCTAAGACCATTCGCAGTAATTAATTATGATGCAATCACACCACTCACTCGAAGGCGAAAATATAGAAAAGGCGAAGTCAAGAGGTTAAATTTCATCAATTCTAATAAGAATGCACTAGCGAAGTAAAGCACTGCGGTTTTACATAATTTCTGAGTAAGCTATTTCGTACCAATTGAAATAATTCTTGCATTTACAACTTGTATTCCGAATAAGTATTTAATTTGAAATTAATGTAGATAATAACTGAGAGAATTAGATTTCTGTAGTGTAGTTTACGCGAGATAAGATCACTTGGGGTCACGTGATATGAATCTGGCGCAATCAGGATGTTGACCATGAAAGCATAGTAAATTCTTAAATTAATGTCTTTTTAACAAATTTATTGTCTTTATTTATTGGCTTTTTACGAAATTTTAAACCATATTAAAATGTTCAAATGTAATGCCTTCAAAATAAAAAATTCTTGGAACTAACATTTGTTAACTTTTTTTTTTTTTTTTTTTTTTTATGTATACTGTCGCCAACAAAGTCTGCTTGGCGAGATTTGCGCCGGCAATACGGAAAAGTACCTAATTTTATTAATTAGTTCATAAAATATCTTGGCAGCTTTTTGCTGTTTGTAACTTGTCACTTTAATCGCTTAAATATAATATAAACTTGCTACGTGTAGTACAAGCTGGTTTGATTCTGTTTGTATCTGAAAAAGCACTTCGCAATAGGTCTGCTGAAACACTTCAAAGGTAAACATATGTGTGCATTTTAGAAACTGGAATTCATTGACTGTGTAAGCAGACAGTAGTGAAAAAAATCTGGTCTCTCTCATCAGCATAAAACAGCTACTGAAGTGGATAAGGATTGTTATTTGTTTTTCAAAAATTAAGTGAAACCCTTGAAAATGCAAATACATGTTCATCATCTTTTAGGCAAAATTCCCTTGGATGGGAACACATCCCCCTTCACATCCATAACCTTTTAGAACAAACTGGCCATTGGACACAAATATAACCACTGTCTTTGAAGGATGATAATGGTTAAATTATTGATATGATGGTTAATTATGTTAATGATGGAGAATGTTGGTTAAATTATTATTATGAATGTTATTATGATAATGATGGTTAATTAAGTTGACAAGTTAATTTCATAGATCTCTACTTCCTTTATCTGTGATCTGACATTTCCATTATCTTATCTCTGATTTGCATTTATTTGATTCTAATTAGAAATCAGGATTCTTACGAATTGTGTATTGGCGTATGAAATTAAAAGTGAAACAAATTAAGCTATAGTTGTTTTATAAAGACTATACACATTATTCAAAAGTAATCAATATAATAAAACACTTTTTTAATTGTAATTTAATGTAACCTTGTGTGTAGAGTGAAAGTTTGGTAATTTTACAACCATTTGAGCTTAGTATCAAGAATAACTGTGTACTTAGCAAATGCCCTTTTTGTCATCCTTATTTATTTTCTTTGTCCTCCCCTCCCCAAACAAACTTCATGGTTAATTTGTAAACTGACTTATATACATGAAACAATGGAATGTTTTAATGATTCAGTTTTTTTTTTAGCTCGCCGGCGGCCGAGCACTGATCACTGGTAGTTCGGTCCGAGGTTCAAATCCTGCGAAACAGGCTGGCTGCCTGGGCGTTTTCGTGGTTTTCTCCATGTGTAACATGTATGCGAGTCAGTTTCCCTTAGAAAGTCCTCCACAAAGGCATCCCTTCCCTTAGGAAGATAGCCCTAGTGTGCTTTGCCAGAATTAAATAAACCAAAAAAAAACAGTTTTTTTAATATTTATCCTGTTGTAAATCAACTAAACTTAAAGAAACATTCAGAACATTTTGGCAGTGTTTAGGAAATTTTACATTGCCATACTATGGCTAAATAACCATTCAATATTTTGTTGAGAATATTTCTTTGCTTAGGTATAACCTTTTTAAATAAATACTTTAGAAATGATATATGTATTTAACTTGTGATTTGAGTATCTTTATATTGCTGTTTGTACTATGTTAATATGATTGTTTCAGTATGAATACTTTACATGTGTATGCATAGCTTAATGAATTGATCCAAATAATAAATCTGTTCTGTTTTTCAAGTATCATGCTGGCACAATAAAAAATGTTCGGGAGGCTGTAAAAATAGTGAGTGAAGATCTTGGTATACCATCATATCCAGTTGCTGTTGCATTGGATACAAAAGGACCTGAAATAAGAACAGGCTTGCTTTCTGGGGTAATTTTTGTGAAGTGTTTGAAAAATTTTTAATTATAAATTATTACTCTTAATATAAGTATATATGTTATGTAACATTTCGAATAACTTTTTACTTGCCTGTATGGAAAACACTAATGGATTTTTAATGATAAAGTATAGCTATTACTGATTAGGATAATTCAGAACACTCTTATTTTATCTTTGCTTTACAAAATATATTAAATTTTGTGTAAAATATTACTTGGACTGATGTTTGTTAAGACAGAATGAAATTTTCTGTACTAATAATTTGCAATCTTTAACAAAATCTTTGGGTGTAGTTTTATGATAAAATCTCAAATGTCATCATAAAGTAAGTAATGTGAATGAACCAGAAAGGAAAGAATTACTATAGTTGAGATATTTTGAAATATTTCAGTCGAGAAACCATGGTGATGAAGAGGGAAAAAGTATATTAGTTGAATTTTAATTTGGGTATTGCACTCCAGAGGTGGGATAACATGCTGTTTATGATTCTGTCTTGTGTAAAATGTAAATGTGAGTCCATTTCCTCAGTTATTTCATCATAAATTCATTTAAATTGCTTAAATAAATGCAAACTTAAGTACAATAAACTATATAAAATTTATAGTGTTAAATAAGAAATTCCAATTTTGAAACAGAAGTATAATTATAATTTTTCCTTCAGAATTATTAAATTTCTAAGCTACTTCAATTATCTTTCTATTGCTGATATAAAATCCAAAGTAAATTGCATATTGTCTTCAGGTAATTTTGTTTTCATAACTAAATTCTTGTTATTCTTGATGTCATTCATCTTATTCATACAGGGAGCATCTGCAGAGGTAGAGATAAAAAAAGATACCACTGTTAAACTTGTGACTAAAGATGAATATAAAGAAAATTGTTCAGCTGATGTAATTTATGTGGATTATAAAAATATAACTAAAGTGCTTGTACCAGGCAATAGAGTTTTCATAGATGATGGTCTCATCTCTTTGGTTGTCAAAGAATGTGGTAATTATATACTTTTTCTATATGTGTGTATTAATATTTTCTTTTAATTATGTAATTCAAATATGTATAAAATTTTACTTGAGGATTAAGTATTATGTTGTTTATTTTGAAGATTATTTTTTAATATATAGTCAGACCGCACTAAAATGAACTTAAGGGACTGAAAATTTGGTTTTGGTTTGCTGTATCTGATCCAATAAGGAAAAAAAAAAAAAAAAAGGATCATCTCAAAAAGTGGTGCAAAAATTAATAATGAATCACACAGAGCAGTGTCACATCTCCACTAACACTCTTATCATATCTAACATTTGAAGAAAGATCTTTTGTAAAATTTGGTTAATATGTTGTATCCATTCAATTTTTAAAAGTTTCTGAATGTATATGAATTTGCAAACTAAAAATTCTGTAGCCATATTAAAAACATTATTGTAAATTTGTTTATAAGTCTTTTTACTTCTGAATGTTTGAGTATGACAATACGTTACTTAAGTAACTGAGAAATAGACAGAGTTAACTGTACAAAAAAAGGAAAGCAAGTTTTTTATTTTGTTTTATATATAATATTATTTACAGAGGAAGTATTATACTTCCCAAGAATAAACTGTTCATTATTTGAAATGAAATAATGCCAAAGGCCTAATTTATTAATTTGATCTGTAAGCATTAGTGATTCCTAAAATTCTGAGAGATACTAAAATATTTAATCCAGATATAAAATGGTCTAGCTGTAGGCCATAAATTTCTTTTAAGAATGATTGATAATTTTTGACTTCATCAACAGAATGCATCTTTGAATATTTGGAAAGTAATGTTGTCTGAAGTATATTAAAAGTGAGTAAAGTAATCTGGCTGCCATGCCTGTTCTTCCTTTCTTAAACTTTATCATGTAGGCTTCTAAATTTTAGAACTCCAGTCTGCTAGGATGTTTCACTAGCCACCATCAGTTTTAGTAGCCGAGCTATCTTACATAAAATGTTTTACATCTCTTATGGGGTTATCACATATAGTGATGTGTAGTACTATGAGAAACTTATCCAAGAAATAAATTTTTCCAGCACTGATTTGAACTGGAGTTTTCCAGCTGAAACTGTTGCATTTGATGATCTGTTGCATGTATTGACCTGTTGATTAACAAGTTCTAAGGAATCAAATATTTATTGCTTCAGCTACTAAATGTAGTCAGTACTTCAAACAAGTATATAAAAAAATTTGTGCTTATGATTCATACAGGAATGTTAGATTTTAATGGATTTTCACAGTGCAGCAAAATTTTTAATATATATAATGGGCAAGTACTTAGATTTTACCAAACAAGTACATAAAAAATGTGTGGTTATGGTTCATACAAGAATGTTAAATTTTAATGGATTTTTCACAGTGCAGCAAAATTTTAATATATATAATGGACAAGTGCTTAGATTTTACTCTTCTTGCAACTGGAGTGCATATTCTCATATTCAGAACAACTTGAATACATCCGAGTTCAAAGCAAAACAAGACAATCTGAATATTGCTTGATCTTTGCTCATATGTAGACACAGCTGAACCTACTCAGTTTGACATTGGAGACTGCTTCATTATTTTAATAAAAATCACTTAAAAATTGCGTTTTTTTATATATCTGATATATACATCCTGATTTGTGAACTTAGCACAAATATATGAAATTCAGTCAACCCCATGCATTGAACAAAACAAGATTTAAAGGTCTAAATAGTGTATGCATTAATGCATTAAAATGCATTAAACATTGAAACAGCATGATATGCTTTTAACAAAGGTAACAAACACATGCCTGCAGATATTACAGGATGAGCAAATTTTGCTAAACTTACGTTATCCATGGAAATTATCGCTTGTGCTGTCAGAGGGTTCATTTTCCAGGCCTTTCTGTATGGTAGTTTTAAACTTTCCAAAATAAATCTTAATGTCACTTTTTCTTTTGTACAAAACATGATAGTGACCGAAAAATGTGGTTCACTGTTAGTTAAACATGCTCAGTGCTGCAGGCTCCTATCTGAGTCACTTGGTGGTGTACATAAATGCCAGCACCTCCATTTAGAGTTGTTTTCTTATGTTTATTGAATGCTTTAGTGTGATAGAAGCATTGGCAAAGAGTGATTATTTTTCTGAATTGGCATGGCATTCAAGAATATTGTAAGATATTTTATGATTATGAGTTTGAATTAGTTAAATTATACTGTATACTCTTAGTATGTGTATTAAAATTAGGAAAAGGTTAACTTAATATTTGTAGCTTCACTAAAATATATCACCTCTTTTCTTTCAAACTGTGTCAAACTTATTCTGTCAACAGAAAAATAATATTATGATTTTTCATTATTGGTAATAACTAATTTTTTCAGTACAACAAACATCTAAAACTTGTTAGGATAAATTGTTAGATCTTTAGGACCAAACTATTATATTCCTGGTATAAATGAAAAAAAATTCAGGATAAAGGCAATGCTGAAAAGATCAAAAGAAAATATGTTACCATTGTATTAAAATAAAGAAGAGGAAGAAAGCATATAACTTAATTGTGGAGATAAACCTGAACTGTGTGAAGAATGCTGTTGACGATGACATGGAGAGCACGTGATTAAGTGAGAATGGTATTTAACTGCTGCTGGAGAAGGCAAGGAATCATTCTTACACTTTTACGAGTAAGGGAAACAACTGCTGATCTAAGCGAATTTGATAGAGGGCAGATTAATGGCCTGAAGACTTGGAATGCATATCTCTGAAACTGCATGACTGGTAGATTGTTCGCAATCTGCTGTTAGTATTTATGCAAAGTGCATAAATGAAGGTAAAATCAGCAGTAGATGCCAAGATGCTGGACGTCCATGCGTCATCGAAGAAAAAGGACATTGGAGAGTACCCCGCTTGGTCCAACAAAATTGGCTCCAGACAGTGGCTCAGCTGAGCACACAGTACAATGCAGGTCCAAGTGCAAGTGTTTCGGAACACACCATTCAGCAGACACTGTTGGATATAGGGACTGTGCAGCAAACATCCCACTTGTGTGCCTCTGTTGACCAAGCATCCTTGTCTACGCCTATAGTGGGCCCAGGAACATTGAGAATGGACCAAGGATAAGTGGAAGACAGGCCTTGTCAAATGAATCACGATTTCTTATTCATCATGTCTACATTCACGTTAGGGTATGCCATATGTCTGGTGGTTGTGGTATTATGCTTTGGGGGGGGAGGTTGTTCCCATGGGTGGCTCTGAGGTCCTTAGTTGCGGTAGAACAGACCATGAAAGCTGTGAAATATCTGGGAGATCAGTTGCACCTTTTATCTTCTCAACTGGAAATGGAATATTTCATCAGGCCAACATCCCATGTTACAAGGCTCATACTGTGTTAAAGTGGTTGGAGGAACATAAGGATAAATTCCAATTAATGTCCTGGCCTCCTAATTCACAGGATCTTAATCCTATAGAGCACATTTGGAATGGCATGGAGTGGCAGCTCAGAGCTCAAACACCACCATATTGGAATATTTCAACTTTGCGTGACCACGGCTACAATCTGTCTCCAGTCATCTACCAAGAATTTCTGATATCCATGTGAAGGTGAGTTGCAACTGTTTTGCAGGCAAAGATCGCACAACATGTTATTGAGTAGGTCGTCATAATGTTTTGGCTCTTCAGTGTATATTTTAGTGAAATTAAAAATGAATAATTTCTGCTCTTGTATTTGAAATACATATTATATCACATTTTGTCTTCAAAAATTAGCTAATTCTTATCAAAATGCTCATAAATTTTACATGTAGTTAATTTTTGTTTCTAATAGTGTATTTGTTTTAGGATCTGATTACCTTATTTGCTCTGTTGAAAATGGCGGTATGCTGGGTAGCAAGAAAGGTGTGAATCTTCCTGGAGTGATAGTAGATTTGCCTGCTGTGTCTGAAAAAGATAAAGAAGATCTTAAGTTTGGAGTTGAACAAAAGGTACAAATTATAAAAGCCATTTTGTAGCATTTGAAACTTAATGGAAATTGTATATGTTGATGGTAATGTTGTGAGGACATTCTACTGAATAGCATATTGATTGATATTTCTTCAGACCTGTAACTGCTTCTGTATGATTGAATATGATTAGCTTTTATCAAAATATAGTGTAGGATAGTTACAGTTTGTTAAGTTGATTAGATGTTACCTCCTGTATGTTAATTACATGAAGCCTTTAAGGCAATTTCCACTTTCCCTAGCCATATTCTGTTTGGAAACCTATGTTACTTCTCCATTAGCTATTTTAACATTCGTCTGTCATCCAGTAAGCGAAGTAGAAACATCAGTAAATATTTTGCTTCTGCCATATTGCTAGCTGAATTTTGGATTTTTTCTTCAGTTTGTGCAGGTCATGGTGCACAAACAATTTTTCACATTTTATGATGGATTTCATAAGTAAGCATAATTTAATAATTCAGTTATGTATTCGATTTTGGCTGATTGTAAAATTTAGTAAAATGATAAGTTTAAGGGAAATCATGATAAACAAAAAAATGTGTTTTTATGATATTTGTGAAAACATTGATATTGCCAATTTTAATACTGTGTGAAATTTTTCGTATGTGAAATAAAATTTTTGTTCAACTTATTTCTTCTCTGTCAGCTATATTGATCATAAGCATGACTTCCTCCCTGGCAGTGTGTAAGGAACTGCAAGTGTTATCTCATCACAGAGATACTTGATCCTTGGCTATTTCTCAAATTTTGTCATGCTGCATGTTTCCTATCTGATGCAAAATAATACTTTCATTTCAAAATTCATCTTTTAAAAAAAAAAACTCTTCTTTTATTGACATCTTTTTATAGTACATAGTACATACAACATGCTGCTTTCATTGATCCATTAGAATAAATTTTTAATCTTAGTTTCAGATGAGTTAACCCTTTATATGCTAGGCTGAGTAAATGATATATTCTTCAAGCTCTCAAAAACATTCTTTCATTATTTTGTATAATCATTTCAAGTGTGTGTTAAAACTGAGATCTGAATATGAAGATCTGATTGCAAATCTTCCATTTTTTATGATTTCTTATGTTTAAATTTCTGACAATGTTAATGGTAAACCCTCCTTTTAAAATATTGTATGGGGAAATTTCAGATTAAATGGCTTTGAGGAGGGATATGATAATAATATGTGCCACTATTCCTCAAGTATTCTTTTCCTGCAGTGGATCAAAATGATGGCAGAGAGCCTCATCACCATGAGTGCTATTGTACCAAAGCCCAAAATCCTTCTTCTTGGTAGTGAGGGAATTTAGTAATTTGATCATGATGACATTTGATTTTCTGTTAAATATCTTGGAACCCACTGCCTGTTATTCTTTGATAAGCTTTTATTAATTGCTACATTCTGTTTAATTTTTGCATGGCAGATCCGTAGTGTTTTTACAACCAGTCCGAAATCCTTTGGGCCTACATTCCTATAAGCCATTGACATAAGTTTTATAATTTCTGGTCCTTTCTGAAGAATTAAATCATGGTTTTCTGTTATTATATCCATGAAGCTATTAATAAGAATTCATTTGCATTCATATGTTGCATTAACTAAATGATTTGGTTGCTGCATTCCTCTTGTAGCTGTAATTATCATCATCATTGCTTTTATGGCTATTTTAACACTGGAAGCTACACTAGTTTTTACGTGACGAGGAAGGTGACTCAAACTTGAATCTCCAGAGCTGTTAAATACCTGTAGATAATCCAGAAAAATTCTACATGAAATTCTTGATCGTCAAAGGTAAACTTTCAGACGAAATCTGACAGCACACTGAAATTTCAGAAAATTGCCAAAACATAGCTACATAGCCAAATACATATGCATATTTATTAGAATTAATTTACATATCTGAAGCTAATTATTTTAGCATAGTGTAATTTTTAATTAGTAAAATATTTTTGTTTCTAGATAAAATGGTTTATGTATTATTCCAATTTGTAATACTTCTAATTGATGCTAATGATTTGTTGCTTTATTATAATAACTTTCTCAGTATTTTCCTAAATTTGCTATCTGCACTTTAAAGGTTATCAAATTAATTCTTTATTTAAATTAGCAATAGCTTATCAGTTATATATATATATCCATTTGCTATGGGAAGAATAGCTCCTTACAATTATCAAACTAGTACATCTGTTTAATCTAGTACAAGTAAATCTTGTAAAATATATTATTTTGTTGGTCCTTTCTTCGTTTACTCATTTGATTCATGATCAGTGTGCATGAAATGTATGTATTTTCACAGTACAAATCTATAGTATGAAGTAATTTGCTGTATGATTTTCAAAACTTTGCTGAATTCTGGCTGTATATTTAAACTTCAAATTTCTAGTCTTCGTTAGTTCTTTAACAAAAGGAACATGTATGTATCATCATATATGAACTGTTGTAAAAGTGTGAACAAATGCTGACTAAAAACAAACATTTTGCAACACATAACTAATAAATAAAAGAAAATGAAATTGAAAGATAAAAATGACAGTTTAAATCAGGGAGGAAAAGAAAGCTTGGTATAAATTTCAAATAACAATTAATTGATTTCAAGGGCAATTAGACTCAGTCCTTCTTCAAGAGCAAATCCCTAGGCTTGCTTTTTCTTGCCTGATTTTAAATAACTCGATGAGCGTCATGATAAGCATGCAAATTGATGCTCTCAGTGTGTATATTCGTTTATATCTTGATCTGAAGAATTGAACATTAGAGAACATGGAAAATAGCATTTTGAAATTTTTGAGAATTGCCATATTGCCAAATGTGATTATAAAAGGGCATATTTTTACTGCTTATCTGCATGTTTTAGAAGCTAATTTTATTATCACTGTGTACTTTTTGATCAGCAAATTCATATATATTTCTTCCAAGATTATTAAGAGTTCAAGGTGGCAAGCCTACCTTGCGAATTAAGTGACTCACTTACCCCAAACATAGCATGGCAGTGCTGCTACCATTCAATGAGCATCATTTTTTGGGATAAGCCTTATTTAAAAAAAAATTATATTCTGTGCAAAATAGCATATATAAATAAAGTTTCTGTTTGGGGATTGATAGGTGCTTTTTATGACTATATTGATTAATTTTTATTCCAGGTAGATATGGTATTTGCATCATTCATCCGCAATGCAGCTGGTGTTAGAGAAATAAGAAACATATTGGGTGAAGAAGGAAAAGGCATTAAAATTATCTCTAAAATAGAGAATCATGAAGGTGTAAAAAAGTAAGTTTTAAAACTATCGCTGGTATTTCTAAATAAGTGATTTCATATATGATCCTTTGATTCTAAGACATGCTCTTTACTTTCAGTATCACCAATAGAGAATGTGGTTAGTAATTTGGAGAAACTTATTATTAAACTAATATAATTTAAATTTCACTGAAGTCTGTTCGAGATGTCTGTTGCTTCTAAGATGCCTGGTTTTACTGATGTTTAGTGCAGGGACGCTACTTCAGAGCCTCACTCCACTAAACTTCAAAGAAATAAATGTTTAAATGGGTGTAACAGGGAAGATGATTACAACTTTAAAGGGTCATAGATAGCAACAACTAAAATTTTCTTAATTGTATGGGTTCAAATTTGAAGTGTGAACCAGAAACAAAAGTATGTGCCCCCCTCCCGAAAAATGGAAAGGCATTTTAATAGTGGATATTTACAAGAATTATTCAAATGAATAACCAGAAACTGAAATGCATGCATCACAATGACACTGTAGTAATTAGCCTATATTTTGGAAGGTATCCAGCACGTCATATACTGCAGCAATGATTTCTGGTGGCAAGGTCTTCAGAAAAGTCAGTCTGCATCTCATCATTGAGGCTTTTCAGTTACCAGTAGAGAAAGAAATTGAGGCAGATCTGTAATGCCAAAGGATGATCCACCACACCTAGCACATAATTTCTTTATTCATGTATGGGTGGAGATAATCCATGATTATGTAACTGCCTGTGCATCCTACCAGAAAGCCTCAACAGAGGCAAGTATGGTATTTTCCTTTGGCAAACTCTGCCCGATTTACTGTAGGTTGCCACTTCATTTTGCTGACATCACATGTTACACAGACATTTGTTGTGCACATGAGCTGTTTCAGCCCAATGGAGCATCTACAGCACTAAAGAAATACAAAACTACCTGAATATTCAGTTTCCAGACTGATAGATTAGATTTGGTGGCTCTATTATTTGACGTCCTATATATCTGGTTCTATCCTGCCTCAATTTCTTTCTCTGGGAGGGGGAGGAACACATTAGATAACTTGTTTTCTAAATGCAGATTTACTCTCAAAGATTTTGTTGCCATAATTAACAATTAAGTTACAGTCATATGCCAGATATCATCCAAAGTGTACACCAGTCACTCTCATCATTATCTTTCATGCATTGCAGTTGCTGGAAATTCATTTGAACAATTCTTGTAAACACTAAATGCTACTTTTTGTAAATATGCATGATTAAAACTTCTCATTTTCAATGTTTTTCACTTATTGCATTTCTGCATTCACATTCCACTGCTGCATTTACATCATTTCATAACAACATGGTGTAATGAAAATTGTAACTTTTGTGATGTTTTATCACCCCCTTAAAATTATGACTCTCATTCCTTTTATACCCTTTATATGCATTTCTTCTATAAAATACTGTGTTTTGATATGTTGAAGTTCTTTATGTTAAAATGCATTGTAATTCATATGAATCTTCAAGAAGAAGTAATGATTTAAGATATTCACTTAATGTACCACTCCTAATTAATCACTTAACAGTTTCGGCTAATCTTTAGAATATGGTAACAGGTAGTTTGGCGACATTTTGGTAAGGCGATAAAGGTTACTAGCTAGGACTTTAGCAATAATCTGAGAAGTACACAGTTCGAATCACAGATTATTTTATCTCCGAGAAATGAGATTATGAGACATGTAATGTGACATTTTCCAGAAAATTCCAATGGGGATTTTAGCTAATAAGCACTTAGAAACAATTTCGCTGCTAAAGTGCAGAATTGCCCACTTATTTGTTTGGCGCTTTTTACAAGAGCAAGAAGAATTGGATTTTTGTCATTTTTTTTTTACTTTTAAGTGAAAATAGGTTGATGTGTACATGGATAAAGTCAAGAGTGTGCGCAATGCCATTTTTGTGCAATTCTGTAATGTTTTTTTAAGTGAAAATAGGTTGACGTGTATATGCAATTCTTAAAAACATGGCAAGCAATGGGCGATTCTACACTTTCTCCCAATTTCGCACCTAATCTTCGTCATGATTAAGCACTTTTGTTGCATAAAAGTTCTAGCATAAGCGTAATTCGGCTAGCAGATTGTTAGAAAAAATATTGAGTAAAAAAAAAAAAAATGCCTTTACTTTGTTATAACAAAATGGCATCCAAAAAAAAAAAAAAAACTAGCAGGTTGCTGTAGCAGGGTTGGTCGCCAAAGTTTCGCGAAAAAATCGCCAAGTTACCATAATGTAAAGATTCACCACAGTTTCATTTTCTGCCAAATTGTGACCAAAAATAAGCATATTTTTATAATTAATTATGTATTCATATTGATTATATGCATTCAAATCAACAGTCAAAACTGTTATAACTATTGTATTTATTAATTTATAATAATTTTTAATTATGGTGAAAATAAAGGATTTTTTTCTTAAAGTTGACTTTTCCTGAAGAAGGTATTTAACTGGAAAGAATACATTACAGCAGAAAAATGTTAGTAAAGAGCATATATTTTTTAAGTACTTAAAATTTTTATTCCATTTTAAAACTCAGCTTTGGTATGATATATTTTGAAACATGAAGATGGGCAGAGTGCAGTGTCATGATTGGGACAAAAATATGTTTTCTTTTCTGACCTGTTTTCCACTAACGTTCCTTCTCGAACAGCACACAAAACTACCTGGTTGATCTCAGTTTCTTTCTACTGGGAGAAATTACTTCTATAAAGTGTCTTTCAGTCAACTTTAAGGGATTTTGTAAAATTCCTGGCCATCCTTTCTTCTCATTCATTGTTCCAATGCCTCTCGATCAAGCTATCAACAAAGTCTAAAATCCAAATGGGAATATTTTCCTTGGTACTTGTGGTACAAGGCAAAAGAATTCCACAGTGATACATAAAAAATGTGAAAGAATATTTTTTATATTTTCTTCTCTTTATGATGTTATGATTGGTGAGATGTTAATACATTCTATCAATACCTCCTATAGTATGATTGTGCTCCATTGCCACTTTTGGTTTCTTTTTCATCTCATCATTGTGAAACAGCACTTATTTAAAGATTGTGTACAGTAGATAAAAGTGTTACAATCTTTTTATCCATCCATTTGATGATGCATACCTTGCCCTTTGGTAAGCACAGATTTCACCTTTTTTGAGCTTTTTCGACTGTAATTCCTTTGGAATGTCTTTTCTGCTAAGTTTGAGTATTTCATAGGTATCTCTTTTGTTGCTGAGAAGAATGTCTGCCAAGTCTGGAGATGCTTAGTAATTATCTGTCGTTAGGCAATATCCTTGATTCAATAGAGGCTGCATAAGTTCTTACCACTTAAGATGATTTGCACAGGTATTGATAATTAGTGTCATAAAGCGTGTCTTTTCCAGTGTACATAATGAATTGATACACATACCCGACTTTGATTCAATAGCATAAAAGATTTTGTGTCGAGTCACGATCTCTTCAACGGTATATACTGCTTCCAGTGTATGCCCTTTGAATAGCATCAGACTCTCATCGATTTTTACATCTCTTTCAGTTGTGATAATTTCTCAATAATGACAATTCAAATACTTGATTACAGGCCAGAGTTTTCATAATTTTAATTCATGCATTTTATCGTCAAATTTAGCATCTTCAGAAAAATGTAAATAGTGGTCAATGAGGTGAAAGTGACAATAAGACATAATTTTTTTAAATGGCATCGATTTTAATGTCTTTTGCTCGAGTATTGCTCAATATCGTTTTCCCCCCCCACAATACCTTGTAAAATATTCAAAGCAAGAACGACTTGAATTTCACTTTTCGATGTTGGTTTCCATTTTCTTGCTTTGCTATGTCTTCAAAGATTACTGTTTTGAATACTCTTTTCTGCATCTTTATTAGTTTCAGAAACTATTATTTCAAGGAGGTTATCACAAAAGGAAATATCAAAAAATTGTAGATTTCCATTACTTAATCAAAATTCAAATGAATAGCAGAATTTGCTGTGATAAGAAAATGTAGAGTTGTTGGAGGAGAACTACTAGTACCAAATACACAGAAGTTCCAATCCTGAATTAGATCATCTGAACCTTTTGTTTCCTCATCAGTAGTGCAGTCTGATAATGAACTTTCACAACTATCAGTATCATTGACAAAAATTTCCAATTCACTGTTTTATGCAATATCTATTATGCTCACTTAAGAGCCACTTACTATCACTCATTCGTCTATTATTTTTGCACAAAATTAAACTGGAAAGATATATTCGCAACGTGCAACACACTGAATTAATGCAAACAAAAACTCGCTCAATTTTCCCGCCTACACAAAAATAGTAAAACCTGTCCTTGAACTTATTTTACAATCCAAATCTCTCCTGGACTACTAGAGCCATCTATTAGAAGTAATGCAAAGGAAAAAGCTGAGCAAATCAGTGAATTGGTGTAGGAAAATGCTCTGCCCGAGTGATGTTCAAGTAAATCAGGAATTCCCCTCTCATATCGCCCGAACGGTCTTCGGACAAAATTGCTGTGATATACTGTTGTGTAAAAATATCTGAGTAACTTTTAAGATCAGAATAGTAATGTTATTTTGATGATAAAAATGACAGGTATAAATTTTCCATTTATTTGTCTTGAAATGCATTAGAGTAGAAATTACTCAGTATTGGATATCACCTAAAATTATGCTTTGTGTTACTACAAATGTGGAAGGTCCAGCAATATCTGAATTCGACTTATAAAATTAGATATAGGTGAGACACTGTGACTACAAATCTTTATTCCTCTTTCATCAGAATCCGTTCTTTTCACAACCATTCATTGTAAGCATTTACTTCCAGTTACCAAAATGTTTCAAGTATTACAAATATTCGTATTTTGTCATTTAAAAAATTATTTTGTAAAAATTATGAAATTTAACTTCTTACATGGTTACTCTGTCTTTAGTTACACTTTATCAAAAAAAAAAAAATTTTTTTTACTCCCATGTGACAAAACTGGCAAATGTATTTAATTCAAGATCAGTCTTCACTTAATATTAACCTTTTTTGTTTTATTTCTGCATACAGATGTAAATATTTCTCCCTTCAATTTGTGTACAGCCTATGAATATGATCTTAAACTGCAAATATATTGATCAATTTGTTATACAGAATTAACATTCTTCTATTTAATTTTTATAATAAAATTTTCTGAAATATAATTGTAGGAACCATATAAAATGGTAGATTTTGTGATTTTTGCGAAACTGATTCTCTTAAATTAAAAAATGGCAAAATATGAATATTTGCATCATTTGAAACATTTTTGTAATGGTCCATGACTGATGGTTGCATTTAAAAAAAAAAAAAAATAAGAGCTGCATAAAAAAAATTTTTGTGGACATGATGTATGTATGAAAAATGATCTAATGTGGTGATTCATCTCGTTCTCACAAAGGCTAATTGCAGGGGAAAATACATACAGTGTGCAGTGGAATTTTATATATCATCACAATAATCCAGACCTTCGGAGCATATTATGTTAAATGTGTGAGGAATAAAATTTTAATAGGATTAGAAAGTAAACTGCCATTTAATATAGATATGCTAACTGCTGTATGCATATTAAATATCATTTGGAATATATTCTACATTGAAAATCCATATGGATTTCATCACACTTGATATAATGGTATTGGTAAAATATCTGTTGGAAGTTTTCGTCAGTCATTGTTACAGAATTATATGAAGTCTCCATCTTGAAGCTGATGAAATAAATATAAATGGTTTAGAAAGTTATTTTTCATTAAAATATCAGATTTTGCTGCATTTGATAAAAATATTTCCTGTGTGAAGGATTTATCCATAGACCTAAAATCTTTTTTTCTATACAATTTTATGCTACTTATTCTGATGAAGGTAGAAAAATCATTCATCATGTGTTAACAGAAGATTCTACGAGTGCCTATTTAATAATTGTGAAATTTCTATAAAAAATGCAATAAAATATTTTACATGAATATTTTTAAAAATGATACAAATTAGCATTCACTGAAAATCGATTTATGCTTAAGTTATTAAAAGAAACTTTGATTTTAATACATTAAATGAAAAAGAAAATTTTATAATAAATTCTTTGCTTAAAAAACATCAATTATTTTATATTTATTTTAACTGTAATTAACTACAGGTTTTCTGGTTGATAGCTATAAGAAAGAACTGCTTCCAAAATATGTTTAACAAAGAATTTCTTGGGAATGAAGTATTCTAATGCACAGTTTCTTGCTGTTATACTGCACAAAATAATAATACCTTCATCACAATTGCATTATGAGTACAGTTGTATATGGGCATCCTTAACATCGTGGAACCACCCAAGTATTAGATAGCATGGTAGGTATGAAACTGTTTTATTCCCTGAACAATTCTAGTTTCCTGATGTTACAGCTTAAGGAAAGAAAATCTAGTGATAAAAGATAAAAGATCAAGTGATTGCAGAGGCCAGACAAGAAACACTAAACTTCATCCAATTCACTGTCTTGGTCTTCATATCCATAAAGTTATGCACCCTATTTGCAAAATGTGGCAGAGTCGTATCCTTCTGAAAAATGGTACTTGGAAGAAACTGAGGCTTGAGGGTAATTTGCCAAAATTGCTATTTCTTCATCAAAGAATGGGCCTTTATGATCTTCTCTTTTGTAACACCACATATTCACTTTTGGTTAATCATGTTCTTATAAGTCCTCAGAAGATTGTTATAATCATAGTTGGCTACCTTTGAAGTGAGTTGTCCAGATAGGATATTGATTACTGAAATTAACTGCTGTACCAAAGGGCCCAGGTTTGAATCCTGGAGATGACATGGATGTTTATAAGTGTGTAGTGTTTGTGCGGCAAGGGGTACTCAAAGTACACTCATGTCCATAAATTAAGGATAATGCAAAATCAGGCAAAGGAAGAGTTAGAAGCAAAACTAATTTGACTTATTTGTAAAGCTAATTTATTAAAAAAAAGGAAAAGAGCAAAAAAAAGATGCTGTATGTTTGATATTATTAAAAAAATTAGCGATTTTTTTCCCCTCCCTGGAGCAAATTACAAAAAAAAACCTATTTACAAAAAACCAATATTACATGGTTGGTATGATTGTTAATACATTGTATGTCTCCCAGACGATGCAATACAGTCCGTACAATGCCTAGACATGCTGAGTATCAAATTATCGATCTAATCTTGGGGGATATTACACCACTCAAAAAGCAATGCTCCGGTAGACATGTAGGAGGAGGTTGACAGGCTGCAACTCGTCGGCCAAGTACGTCCCACGCGTGCTCTACTGATTCAAGTCTGGTGAGAATGCTGGACAGTCCATACAGGTGATATCCTCCGATTGAAGGCATTTGCTTATGATGTTTGCACGGTGAGGACGAGCGTTGTCATCCATAAACACAAATTGTGCGCCCATGGCGACCCGAAACAAACGTACATGTTGTTCCAGAATGACGTCCTGATAGATTTGGCTTGTCATGGTTCCAATTTGAACATGCAGGTCAATTCTGGAACCCAGAATAATTCCACCCCAAATGAGCACTCCTGCACCACCGTAATGGTGTCGTTCAATGATGGTGGTAACGGGTACCTGGAGCTCTCCATATGAAAGTCCGGCGAGAATCAGACTGCAAGCTAAACCTGGACTCGTCGGGAAAATATCACACAAGCCCACGGTTGCGGTGTCCACAATGCATGCTCTCTACTCCAGGCTAACCGCAGGCGACAGTGAGTTGCAGTAAGTGGAACACATCTGACAGGTCTACGAGCATATAGACCAATCTGCCCTAAGTGTCTACACACAATCTGCCTTGAAATTGTCGTACCAGTGGCTGAAGAGAGCTGACGAGACAGGTCTGAGGCTGTGCTCCACCTGTTTGTTTTTGGCAGTAACTGCCAAATACCGGTCCTTATTCGGCGATTGTAACTCTGGGCGACCTGTGTGCTGTAACGTCTACTCACATTACCATCATCTTGGAATCGTTGCCAAAGCCTGGAGATGACACTCTGGGCAATTCCAAGTTCATCTGATACTTCCAGTTGGGTACGCCACATTCCAGACAGCCGATAATTCTATCACAAAAAATCATCCAAAATGCGTCCTTTGTGTCATAAACTATTCGGTTATTGCACTGAAATGCTTAGAAGCCCCTGCGAACAATTTTACTTTTTGCCTGTATTCCTTATATCACTCTCTTACTCTCTCGTCATTGTGACGTACCATCGGTGTCATCTGGTATTTTCCTGAAATTTGCATATGATTCTTGAAGATGTGTGTAGTGATTTACAGGTGATATATTTATTTTAGAGTTCAATTTCCGCATGACTCCGAATTATCCTTAATTTATGGACATGAGTGTACATGGTGAGTCAAACTTCTCTTGAAAGGTTAGTGGTGTAGGGGAAGATGTGTGGGAAATCTTGAGATTGCCCCCTGTGGTGTTCTCCCTTGGAATAACAATTTGGATGGAAACTTAACAGTTAGCAAGGCATGGTGATAATGTAGTATGCCTACATGGATGCACAGGTCTTGGCATTGCTTCAACCAGAACCTGTCTTCTGAGTTAAATATTAAGGCAAAAACAAATTTTTTCAGATGCATGCTAAAATATTTTTGATAACTTTACCTAATGCAGAATGTACTGTATTGTTTCTAAAAATAATGTGCATTAAATTTTTCAAATGAACAAAAATCGAAGTGATATTCTACATAGAAAGTGCATTCAGACTTGTAGCTATTTTAAATTCTTTAAAAAACTGCTTATTATACTTCTTATAGAATTCATGACATACTGAAACTTTTCTCTTTTTCTCCTCCAGAATAGATGAAATTATTGAAGAAAGTGATGGAATAATGGTTGCCAGGGGTGATCTTGGAATTGAGATACCTCCTGAAAAAGTATTTTTAGCTCAAAAGATGATGATAGCAAAATGTAATATGCTGTGCAAACCAGTCATATGTGCTACACAGGTAAACTAATGGGTTTATATGTAAAGTTAAACTCTATGATAGATTGATTTAAAGTTATATCTACTGATGTGATATCTATGGTTCACGAGGGGTGAGATACAGTAGCTCAAAAGTCAGGGACTTCCATTTTAGAAAGTAATTTTCAACATAAGAAATCATTTAAATATAATGTAAAATAGCTTTCACAAATCAATATTAAAATCCATACTGCGTTATAATAAAGGTAAGTTGGCCACCACTAATTTATGAAACATTTATAGACTCTGAGAGAGTAAAAAATAGTCTTAAAATAAAAGTCTGATAGCTTATAATTTTGTGTTTTTTCTTATTTAAAATGCAAACATTTTAAAATTGTTAATGGGGATAACTTGCTAGTATTGATGGAATAGTTTAATTTATTCTTTGGTTGCTAATTTTTATTTTGACGATTAAGAACTGGATAGCAATCTGGAATTCAGAAAATTCATGAACTTTAATAACGTATTTTAAAAATGGGTTCTTGGTAAGAGATATGGCAGAAATAATCTAACAAAGTTATTCAATAGAGCAAATAAAAAGATTTTTAGTTCTGAAGAACATTTGATCATAGATTGGTAAAGAAAATGCCTTAAGTTACATATTTCCAGATAGCTATGAAAGCCGAAAAGCATTATGGAAAAAGTGCTGATCCAGAAAAAATTAGAATTATTCTAAGAAAAAAAAATTAGTGAATAAGTTACTAGGGCGGAATCAGTAAGAGCATTTGAAATTTGCAAAACTTCATAAATACAGTACAAAGTCCCAAAATCAGACTTATTGGGACTTCCACGATGCCGTATTTTTCCAGATATTGGATCATTAGTTTAAATCTAGTAAGATGGCATGAAGAAATAATAAAATTAAAAATATGAAATCGTAATTTATGAAATAACAAAGCATTTATGATCTAAAGAGTATCAAATTTTATCCCCCCCAAAAAAAGTTAATATCTATTTTTTTACTGTGTTAAACATTTCTTTTAAGTTGCTCCATTTTTTGTGCTAATACTTGCTCTTTAATTCCATCGACAGACCTAAATTCTTATTCAGTTACAAAGTTCCATAGTTGAAGTCCTGTAATTGCTGGCGCTAGAATTCCGACTAACTTGTCAATCAAAATTTTTTTGTCTCTGTCACTCTGTCTGTAGGGGTATTTTCTGGATCTAGAACCATACTACGGATGTTGCCATCCGGTAATTGATTGATGATTGAGGAGCATTGTTATCACAGTGAAAAACCTCTTTTATATCTTCTCATTTATTAGCGTTTCTCCACATTTCTTTACAAAATGCGCTAATTGGAAAATTTCACCTTTGGTTTACGATATCCAAAAACCTTCAGATTCGTGGCTATCATCATGAAATTTAGCTATCATTCACTATACATATTTGGCTATGTATTACGAGATTGGAGACTAAACACAAGTTGTTCCATTAAATTTTAGCTTGCTTCTATTGTGCACTGAGACAACTAAGCCTGAATTGTATTAGTTATTTATTATACTTATGTCTATTTCTTGCACATGCTAATGCTTATCTGAGTACTGAATAAATCAATTCCCACATATACTTAAGACTTATTGAGGGCCAGCGCCTGATGCAGTCTCTGCAGCTCCTAAATTCTGCTAACAAGCATCTCCCTTTGTCTTCCCTAAATTCTGCTGCCCGGTGCGGCCATATGAATTGGTACTGGTTCTGGGTTTATGTGAATAACAAAACAGTTATTCTTAATTCAAATAGCTCTAAATGTAATCTTTTGGCCTATGAGTATCATTAACAAAATGTACTTTTAGCATATGGAAAGAAATTTTTGTTAATTTTTCTTGTCAAGATTTCTTAGTCCATTTAACTTACATCTATAATCATCGCCAAGCATAATGTCAACATATCAACATGTGTTGATAAACATGCAGTGATGAAAGCAAAATGTAATTAATAATGATTCGCCAGGTTGGTGTCAGGTTTATAAAATAGTAGGTGTAAAATCATCATACAAATTTATGCTAAAATGATTGTTTCTTCAATAACGAGGTATTTTATTTAGTGCTGAAGTGAAATTAAGGTTCGAGACTCTCCGCGGGTTTTATTAAGCATGGGGGAGGATCAAATGCACATGCGTACAGCACACACATAAAAAATATAATAAAATTTAAAAAAGTTGGTAGTGGCCTTTGAGGTCCGGATTTTAGATCATTCCGGATGTTGGACGTCCGGATCTCGGACTTTGTACTGTATATATAACTTTAGAGAACAGTATACATACAAACAAATGCAAATTTAAATCTTGTGTCAGAATGGGCAAACAAATGTCTAAAGAAGGCCACTAATGAATGGGCAAACACATGTTTAAAGAAGCCAAAGGAATATGTTTAAAACTACCTCTTACCAATGGGGGTGAGCTGATATAGGGATCAATGTCAGTCACTGGACCAAGTAGCCTTCGTATCTTTGATGAATCAAAATAAATATGTAGTATATTAAGAAAATGTTACAAGTGCTTAAAAATTGGATATAAACCTGAGTATAGACTGTAGTTGCTTTATATATGTTATACATGTCTATATGCCATATGTTACACATGACTACAGATTACTACAAACGTCTTAATTTGGCTACAAACCTAAATGCAATTGAACATTTATGGACAAGTATGGAAGAAAAATTTAAAATGCCTGCTTTGTCCAGTTCAAAAGATTTAGTAAAGACATTAAAAAGAATGGTTAATTTGACAATTTTTTAGTCAGAAACTCTATAAATATACTACAATGGTTTACTGTAATTTCATGTGTTGATCACCGCTAAAATTTATCTGTGTGTGGAAAATTTTCAAAGTGTTTTAGTAACCAATATATACACGTCTTCAACCATAACAATGATGTGAGACAGACCCTGTGAATAACAATTTTTAAGCAAACCAATAGCAATATTTTATAGCTAGCATTGATTATGTAGAGCCGCCTACTGCTGGTTTAACCTAATGGTCATATGTATACTCAAGATGTGTTTTCCTATTAAAGTAATGTAAACAAAGTAATTCTGCATCCAGTTTATTTTATTGATTATAAGTTTTCAGTTTTGGTGACAGTATAGTTATTACATATCACTACTTTGGACCAAAACCAGCATAACTCAAAAAATTGCAATTGTTTGCTTAATGTCATAATTAGTATGGAGTTGTGGTATACAATACCTAACATTGAAAATGCAACACCAATAAGGAGTAGCCAAAAAGTGATTATACTCGGCAGAGAGAGACAAGAACAAACAGTAAATTTTCTTTATTTCAAAATGATATACACAATACAGAGCAAGAACATCATCGGCTCAGTAGGTTGTAGGACCAGCTTGGACGGCGATACACGAAGCAACACATCTAGGTTAAGAGTTAATGAGACTACGGATAGTGTCCTGAAGAATGTCTCTGCATTCCTGCATCTTCTGAATGCAGCAATGGCAGGGTCTGCAAATGGTATCCAATCACATCCCAAGTTTGTTTGATTACTAAGAGATCCGGAGAGAATGGTGGCCAGGGAAGCATCTGTATAGCTTGCACAGAACGTTGGCTGATGCGAGCAGTGTGTGGTCAGGCAATATCCTGCTGATAAAGGGCATTGGCCACTCCTTGAAGGTAGGGGAGTGTCACTGACCACAGCTCCATGTATCTTTGGTTTATCATCATGCCCTGAATACGAAATAGAGGTGACCTGGCATTGTATGCAATTGCATCTCAAACCATGGTGTCATGCGGTGGGCATTCCACAATTGCTGCTGGATTGGACCTGTCTCTACATCAGTGCCACACTCATATACGGGGACTAGAAGAAGCTCGACTCATCTGAGAACATGACCCTGTACTATTCCATCAACCATAGTGCTCAAGCCCAGCGCCATTGCAGATGTTGGTGACTATGATGTGGGGGTCAATGGCAGTCCTCTTAATGGATGTCAAGAGTTGCAGCCACTAGCCACCAATTGATGCAAATTGTTCTAGTCGGTATGGGAACATTAAGGGTGTCTTGAACATGCTGCAGAATGGAGGTAGAAGTGGCTTGTGAGTGCAACACCGCTTGTCGGCGAATTCGTTAATTCACACGTGCTGACGTCACTCTCACTGCAATGGCATCTCTTGAACTTGTTCCAAGCACCATCGCCACAGCTGGTGTACAGTGGACCTGTCCAGGTGTGTGTGAGCTGAGATATGCCGTATGGACCAACCTGCCTTTCTGTCCAATCATCATGTGCCTCGTAAAATCGTCTGTCTGCTGGAACTGCCCTCGTTGATGATGGCCTGGCATTCTGTGGCGTCCTCTGAGATGAGAATAAATTTTCTTTTGATTTCCCTAGCAGAAATAATGGCATGAAATTTGAACATTCTGCGGGTTCCTTCCCTTATATCTTCTTCAACATGCGCCTACCTTGAAATTTACATAATTTTTGAGCCACTCCTTCTTGGTGTTGCATTTTCAATATTGGGTAGTGTATTTTATCTGGAAGGATGTCATTAATGTTTATTAATTACACTCTTCATATTCAGCTAAACTTTGATTAAACCTTCTTGGGGAGTTTCTCTAAACTGTTGGTTTTTGAGTTGTGCCGTTCTTCTGAAGTAGCAATATGCATTTAGACTGTTGAACATAATGCTAGGCATTAAAATGTAGCAAATGGTCATTCCTCCCATTTGCATTGACTTCATTGCATAGCTACTTGTGATGCGATATAAACAGGCTACAACATTTGGCACCTTAGCACACAATTACGAACAGCACCCCCCTTCACAGAAGAAAAAATGGTTGATTGCTTGCTGTTAGCCTCAGTAGCAGATACATTTTTAAATGTATTTCATTTGATATAGTTATTTGCATGCTTTGCATCTTGGCATTGTAGTTGTTGGAATAATACCAGGTTTAGTCTCCATATGTGGTATTGCTCAATTGTTTTATGAATATTTAAAACTGGTGCTCAGCTCTACAGTTCACATGTAAGCTGAATTGCACTGTTTACTTTGTTAGTTATGTTCATATTTTGTTTAATTAGATGAAGCGTTGATTGATCACTCCATTCATTCCCTTGAGAAACTGGCAAGCATATTTAAAAAAAAGTTCTTGTCTTGTTCAAAAGCTTAAACAAAATAAGTAAAACCCCGACAAACTGGCAATCAACTGACTAGAATATTTTTCACATTTCTCTTTTTTTAAATAAAAAGCTATGCAAATGAAGGACCTGCAGAGTTATCACAAAACATATACAGTACAAAGTCTTTAATCTGGACTCGTTGGGACTTTGGCGATTCTGGATGAAGGGTTTTTACGGATTATAGATCATCAATTTAAATCTGGTAAGATGGCATGCAGGTAAAAATATGAAACCATAATTTGTGAAATAAAGAGCAATTATGATCTAAAGGGTGTCAAAATTTACAAAAAAAAAGCTTAATATTTATTTTTCTTTATTAAACATTTCTTTCAATGTAAGTTGTTTAAGTTGCTTCGTTTTTCGTGCTAATACTTTCTCTTTAATTCTATAAACAGACATAATTTCTTGTTCAGTTCTAAAGTTCCACTGTTCAAGTCCTGTAATTGCTGTGTCGAGAATACCGACTAACTTGTCAATAGAAATTTTTTTATTTTCAGTAACCTCTCTGTCACTTTCTTCACATCGAAACATGCTTTCGCTTTGTAGATCCTTTGGCAGCTCCAGAATCGGAAACTCTTTTTGATTTAATTGAAAATTCAAGCTTACTTTTTATAAAATTGCTCTAACGGTCTGCAAAAAATAATAAGCCAGATCCAGTTAGAAGATTAAGGAACAACGCAATCTGCAACATTAACTGAAATAGATAATTAGATAATTTTAGCCTAGCTTATACCGTTCGTTATACATTAAACACGCCATGCGTAAACGTATTATGCACATGTGTAGAAAGTTTGTAGCTTTGAGGTCTGGATTATGGACGCCCAGATTAAAGACTTTGTACTGTATAAGACTATGAGTCAGAACAAAAACTGTTGGCCAAGCAGTGTGATTTAGTGCCAGTAATGGATAAGCATGACATCATAATGAAGTTGCAAGGTGTTTGACTGGGTTTTATGGTAACCTCAATTAATTATGGATACGCTGGTTATTTTTTAGGAACACGTTTTCTCAAGTTTACAGATGTTATCTCCCTTGCATTTTGCAAAAATGATTTTGGATATACCTGAAACAGAATAGCATGCAAGACTACTTACAAAATTGGTGGATCCCTGGCATCCAGAAAAGTGTATGTTAATGAGAATTATATGCAACTTTATTGTAAGATAGATAAACAGTGTCAAAGCAAGTTGAGAAGTTATTGTAGTTGATTACATTTTTATGTCATAACTTATATCTCTTCATTATTTAACTAAATAAAAGAGCAAGCAGTTCTTCTAAACTTCTGCCAGAATGACTAGTGCAGGTTTAGTGGAACTTCTGCCAACTTACATAGCCAAGATGATTTTATATGTTTACGGTCTATGAAAATATGTTGGCATGTCTGAAATGCATTTTCCCTTCCAAAATCTAACTTAATGTTAAATGTAAGCTTTTTATATTCTGCTGACAACAATTGATTTGCTAAAATTTGTTTGTTCATTCTGCTTTTCTATCATTAATTGCATTTTTAATGTTTTATAGTTTACTTTTAATATGCTCGACTATCTGGAATTTTCATGCATCCAGCATTTCCAAGTTCTCAGGATACTTGAGCTTTTGTTGTATGCAGATAATTTCACATAAGTAACTTAACAGTTGTAGTAAGAGCTCCTGTATAAACATACATTAAATACTGCAGTAAAAGCCAACTTCTGAATAATCTCCATACATTAAATACTGCAGTAAAAGCCAACTTCTGAATAATCTCAGGTATTCTGAACAACCTCGCACAGCAGCATTCATAGAACATCCCACCCACTAAACTGCTGAGACAGAGTTTGAATTTTTTTTTTTTTTTTTAAACCAGTAATGAATTGCAGGGAGTTACACCCAGAGTAAACTCGAATACCGATATTGAACTTTTAATTAAAAGTATTAATTTTAGGGAGTTACACCTAGAGTAAACTTCAATGCTGATACTGAATTTTCCATAAAATATATTTGAACTTTCTAAGCATTATATTACTATTTTAATGCAACAGTTCTCAATATTCCAATTTTTAAAAAGTTCCAGTTTGAAGTAATTATATCCAAAAGGTTGTAAAAAGGTATTTTTTAAAAAAGAAATTTATTCATAACTTAAAGCTAATTTATATTACTTTATTCATTCAATTGCTCTTGCTTGAATTTAATTTTCTAATATAGATGCTGGAAAGTATGGTAAAGAAACCAAGACCAACAAGAGCTGAGAGTTCTGATGTAGCAAATGCTGTGCTGGATGGAGCAGATTGTGTCATGTTGTCTGGTGAAACAGCTAAAGGGGATTATCCACTTCAGGCAGTAAAAATGATGCATGCCATTTGTGTAGAAGCTGAAGCAGCAATTTTCCAACGACATGTTTTTATCGAACTGAGTATGAAAACTCCTGTACCAACAGACTCAACGCATACAGTGGCTATTGCTGCAGTGAATGCATCAATGAAGTGTTTAGCATCTGCAATTGTTGTTATAACAACAACTGGAAGGTAAATTCCATGATCTCTCACTATATAAATACAATGGTATTCTATCCTAATTTCTATATGAAATTATCATCAATTATAATTTGACAGTATAACTAGTAATAGATAGACAGTCACCTTCTCATTTTGGTATATCAATTTTGAGGAACTGGTTCAGTCAGATACCAGTTCAGAAAAAATCATGTAGAGGGGATGTTAGTTATTTTACATGACTTTGTCTTGGGAAAAAATTCAAAGTAATATTTGCTGCAATCATGTATTTAGAACCCCAGCTCTTCATTTGTATTATCTCCAGAATGTTATTAATAATGTTACTTTGAGAGAAATTTCAAAACATTTTATGAATAACTTGTATTTAAAAAATACCATTAAGCAGTACTTGCTTTTACCCTTTTGAGTTGTTAGATTAAATTTTCCCACATTTGAAATAAGTGGTTAATTTATTTTCCTCATGGGACTGTGATATAACTGTTTATTGAAAGTAAAATTTTCTGTAACATACCTAATTATTACTAAAATTAACTTACTGCATAGGAGACTAATGTTGATATTTGTCAAACTGCATATTCAGTATTCCATGATTCAGCTGGTATAACTGGTAGTTGGATCTATGATTGAACAGTTTACTCCATGATATCTTAGATCTCTTTCTTTATTGAATTTAGACCTGAAGATCTCGGAAACAAATGCAAGGTTCTAAATTCTTATGGAATATGAGTCAACTGTGATGCTTCCATGCTGGAAGTATGTGTTACTAGCTATAGCATAAATGTAAGCAAGCACATATGCCACAAACTATAGCACATAAATGCAAGTAGTCAGCAAATACTTGCAATTAGCTCACACTGATCTTGAAGGGAGCATTCACATGACGGCTTTATGGTCACAACTTGCATATGGCTGAAACTGGTGTAAAAATTTTGCGAACTTTTCACCAATATGGCATAAGAATTGACCAATTACTTTGAAGCAAATGTAAACTGACGCTTATTGATTTTTTTTTTTTTTTTTTTTTTTTTTTTTTTTGTCTCAGCTGCACATTCGTGCATGTGTAAATTTATTGTTCCTAGCTGGAGGTAGCTTGGATTCTGGTTTATGAGTGTGTGTAAATGTTTGTATTGTGCAACTATGACAATTGTATGGCTAAACCATTGTGTGAATGCTCCATAAGGCACCAGTGGTAAAAAATTTGCATCATCGCATGACTGGCTAGCAGTCTGGAATCGCAGCCTGGCTCCATGAGAATGAGAGCAAAATCTACACATGTTCCGACTTAGTGCCATTTTAGTTATGCCAGTTTGCCAATGTCCAGTGATGCTAAAGTGCATAATTGGTTTCATCAGATTGGCCAAAAGTTGTATAATGCAACAATCTACAGCAACACCAGAGTAGGTGCTTTTGATGAGTGTATGGCATATATGATGTTTTCAGCGACACATAATCTTAGTACATCATTGCTTCACAACATTCATTTTTTCAAGAAATTCTTCCATAAGTAGCCTTCTGATAAATGAATGATTAAGCTCATTGAGCACTGGGTTATATTGTTTTAGTTATCCTAGCTATATTGATGTTTTTCCCATATATAACATGAATAGTAACTGATTTTCTTTTCAATTCCTCGGTGAAGGCATCACTCGTTAGGTAGATAGATCACATGCTTAGCCATAATTTAAACAACTTCTGATATCTTTCATATGATCAGTAAGTGATAATACTGACTTGACGTTTTAATGGTTTCCCCCTATGTGTATACGAGCCAGTTTTCCTCCACATCGGTATCCCTCCCCTTAGGCAGATAGCCCTCGAGTGATTTCCCACAATCAGATGAACTAAATCATGCAAAATGACATTTGTTAAATGTCACCTTCATGGTGTAGCAATTTTAATGGCCAGCAGTACAAATATGTTCATTAAAACCATTGGATTTATCTGTTATTTCACAAAATGATATCAAAATGGCATATGCCATTTAATTAAGCAAGGTCTGTTTTTAAAAGAAATCTGATTATGCATAATGTATAGATAATACATATTTGCTGCACGCTAATTGAAACAAAAAATTTTCTAACTGATGCTATCTGGTGTAACAAAAAGAAAGAAAGAAAATGGGCTTCCTATTTTTTTTACCAATGGTGTGGAGATTATAAGAATTGCTCTACAGTACTTCTGGGAAACCAACCTAGAATAAAATTGTTAGAATTCTGAGTTATTAACTGAATCATTCAGAAATTTGATGTGCAGATTTAACAAGATTTTTATACTTTTAAAAATATACTTCAATTTATATTTTCACTAAAACATTAAAATTTTCATCTCTTGCCTCACAGAACAGCACATCAAGTTTCAAAATATAGGCCGAGGTGTCCTATCATTGCAGTATCACGACTTACTCAAACTACTCGTCAAGCACATTTATGGAGAGGAATTTTACCTCTACATTTCACAGGTGAGCTTAATATGGATTTCAAATAAAAAGAATTCTTTTGTCTGTATAGAAGGTCATTACTTTAACTGTTATTCACATTTCAGGAGAGCGCCTTCCAGATTGGCCCCATGATGTTGATGTGAGAATTCAATTCGCTATAGACTTTGGGAAGAAACGTAAATTTATAAATTCTGGTGATGCAGTTATTGTTGTTACTGGATGGAGAAAAGGTGCTGGTGCAACAAATACAATGCGTGTTGTTTATGTAGACTAATTTGCTTTGAACATTTGTATATTAGTTTCACCTACAAACTTTATCAGTTACTATACTTTACAAGTTAAAAAACTATGGCTAAGCTTCTATTCATCAAGTAATTTTGGACCAGTGGGTTTGACATGCCATATAAAATTTAGTGTTAGCATTAAAAAGATCTGAATGTTAATATGTAATCTATGTCAGTTACCTTGTAAAACAGCTTGTTAAAATTTTATGTTCATCATGTTGAAATAAAGTAATACTGAAACTAATACAATTAAGCTAATTTTATAGACTTATCATACAACTTTTCTTTTTTCTTTATAAACACTGTCATTCAAGCCTTTTCTGTTTCTTGCAATTTCTATGGCCAAAAACTGAATTCGAAGAACTAGAAAATACACAATTAGTTATAAATAAATCAGCAAACTAGATATTTTAAATGTACAAGCATCTTATTTGTAAGTTTAATTTAAATATTTGAACTTCCTTTCATGAATTTACACAAAAACACTAGCTATTTAAAACTCAAGCCTTCAGTTTAGGCTAAAAATAAATAAAACAGAACTTACAAAATTTCATATTGTATACTATACTATTTTATAGATACAGGGTAATTCACTATCAGACCGACAAAACTTACAGGGTTGTAAATGCTGTAGTTGCGAGCTATGGTGCAAAGAAAAAGAACAGAAACAGCAACACATTAACCTTCTATTCTTTAATTCTCATATAACCTTTAGAACTGCGTGATAAAAAACCCTTTTCCCCCTTCCTTTACCATTCCCTAATGAAAAAAAGTTAGGGTGGTCATATGTCCCCTCCATAGATGCAGTAAACTTTTTAATGTTTGTCTAGAACAAGTTACTATACTTGAGACTTTTTCAAGGTTTAATTTAAACCAAAATGTATACAATGATTATGTAACATTTACTATTTCTAATCGGTAATAATTTGTGAATTTTATGTCTTTCTCTGTACTGGAAATTTGGAAGCGAGAACAGAACTTGATAAAATATAACAAATATGAACTAGCTTTATATGCCTGCAGGTCTCAATGCAATATTTGATAATCTATTTTCATTAACAAAATAATAATAATGAATTTATTATTCATTATTATTATTAGATGATCAGAATATGATTCATTACTATTAGATTTTTAGATGAACTTAGAGCAATAATAAAGCTTTAAATCTGTTTTTTCTCACAATTTTATTGTAATATAAAAAAAAAACTGAGATATATTAGTTTTGTTTTATTATTTAATTTTAACAAATATTACTTCCGACTATCGGGTAAAGGAGATATATCTGTAGAGAAAAATTTCTTTATTAATTTAGCAGGGGAAAATTCTCCAAATATCTATATTTTCAATAAATTTTATACCAGCAGTGTGAAGCCTGAAGCTAAATCTTTGCATTTTCATGGTTTCCGTAGAGAGAGAACACTTTTAGGCTTCTTTTTAATGTTTGCTGAAGAGAATTTAAAAATAATAAAATTTTAGAAAATATAAATTTATCAAAAATATATTTCAGAATGGTTTTAAATGTTTATAAAGAATTTTTATGTAAACTTTCTTTCAAAGTGGATTTCGTTCGAAACCATCGTTATATCCAAAGTTTGATTTTTTCTTGATATTTAAATAAAATGGATATACATGTTCTATATTATAAATTTTCTAATTTATTTTTAAAAGATTCATCTTTCATAATTTCAAAAGAAAAAGGGCATGCAGGGTGTTGACATTTACAGTGTAGGAAATACTTTTTTTTATATTTCAGTGATCAAAACTCAAAACAATTACTCAGGAATATTTTCAAAGCAAAATTATATTTGTTTATGACAAATTTTTCAAAAAGTATCCTCTTATGTGTGAAAAATTGGTGTGCCAAATCATCCAAGGATCAATAATCTCAAATGCTGTGTTTTTCAATATGTCCTGTTGTGACTTCAAGAACAGAAACAGCAACACATTAACCTTCTATTCTTTAATTCACTTTACGTTTAAGTAAGTTTAGCATTCCCAGTTTGTTATTATTTAATAGTTTGTTTCGTAATTTTGTTTGATGTATGAATCTGACAACCAGTTTTTTTTTTTTTAATATAATGATCAGGAAATTCCTGTTCTAAGCAAGCAGCAGTTACGTTACTAAGATCTGAATGTTTTCCATCATTTAAATGTATGGATCATTTGATCACATTCTAAGTTACGTTACTGAGGTACTGAATGTTTTTCATCATTAAGATGTACGGTTCATATTGATCATTTTACTATACATGTAAATAATCGCATTTATCTGTATGTTTTCGTAAACATGTAAAATAAATTGGATATAAAACGAAGTCTGATTTCAAATCAAAACAAAAATTGGCATTCAAAGACAAGACAAAGTTTGTATTCTGCATTTTAAGAATTCAGAATCTGAAATTATAAAGGTGTACAGGTACGAATAATTTAAATTACTGCTCGTAAGTATACGATATGCTGTTTACAATGATAAAGTGATTTAAGTTTAAGAAAGTATAAAACACTTTAATTTCTTCAGTATAAATAGAAATTAAGAATTTATTACTAATCATTTTAAGTAATTATTTTAAGTGTACATACAAATATGGATGCTCTGAAAATAAAACAAAAGTCGTTAAGAGCTTCATTTATGTCTATGGTGAATAAGTTGAAGCAATATTTGGCGACGAAAGTAGATGCCAAGGATTGCGATAAGCTGAGCGCGTTGAACACCCAGTTACAAGATAAATTTTTACGTTTAGATGAGATTCAGAATAACATTTTGTCATTACTCTAAGAAAATACTATAAATTTTTACGTTTAGATGAGATTCAGAATAACATTTCGTCATTACTCTTAGAAATTACTGAGGCTGTTGCTGAACCCGAAATCGATTTTGTGGCGGCAGGGGATTGTAGAGACAATTATCCTAAGCTTAAATCAAAGATAGAAATGCTATTAAGATTCTGAATCCTTTTTGGAAAGTCCTGCAGAATGTGATGTGGTAAAATTATGTAAATTTGAATTTAAAATGTTTTCGGGCAATCCCAAAGACTTTTAACATTTTGGAGTATTTTTTCAAAAACTTAGAAAAACTGACTGCTATAGACAAATTCCAGTATTTATACCAGTCTATGGTGCCTGATTCAAAAGCTGTTAGATTAATATCCAGTTTCCCAATAACAGCTCAAAATTATCCAAAGGGCGTCCAACAGCTGAAATTAACATTTGGCCAGGAGGCTCTCCTAGTGCAAATATATGTCCATGATCTTTCACTGGTTCTGAAAAATGCTATGGCTGGAAGAATGTCCCTAATTTAGCCACCCTCTACGATAGAGAAAAAAATTAAGAGCACTGGAAAGTTTAGGGTGCACAAAAAAAAATGTTGACTTTTTAGAGCCATTGGTGGAGTCATGTTTGCCAGAAAATGTTCTGAGAGCGTAGGAAAGGATTAGAATTTCAGAAAATATTGACGAAACAGAAGCTACAAGTCAGAGATCCCTGGAAAAACTGGTGTGCTTTTTACGCCATGAAGTTGAAGCAGAAGAAATGATAAATTTGGCTCTATCAGGTTTCGGAACTCATTAAGGTTAGAAGTGAAGTTGATACTACACGAAATGATATCCCTTTTGCTTGAGCTCTTATTTCATCCACTCAGGAAAAGGCTAAATGTATTTTTTGTAATCATCCAAGGTTAATGTATTTTTTGTGATCATCCATACTTTAGTAGATTAGAGACTATAAGAAAGCTTCCAAGATGACTAGATGACAGGAAATCTCAAGTTATATGCAAAAGATGCTGCCTTGTTTGCCTTTTAAGCTTGGTCATATGGCAAAAAGGTGTCGCAGTAGTGTGAAATGTTTGATTTGTGCACGAAGGCATTATGCGTTACTTTGCCCAGATTTATGTAAAGATATTAACTCCTCATCAAAGGACAAAGTAGAAGATCAAAAACAAAATTTTACAGACTCTATTGGCAAATCTTCCTTCAGAACGTTAAATATATATGAAAACAATCAGGATCAGATTACAGCATAGGGGCAAAGAAATCTGTGTTCGAGCATTTAATGGATGATGCATCACATCGTTCCTATATTGAGAAGAGCTTAGCTGGTGAATTAAATCTTCCTCCTTCCGGAAAGGAAGTGTTATCTCAAGGACTGTTTGTTGGAGGAATTTCTCTGGCTGCTGAGCATAGATATACAGTAACTATTGAAAGTTTAGATCGAAAGTATTCTACTTCAATGTTCTGCTTGATCAACAGAAAATTTGTTCAACACTACCCAGAATACGTGATGAAACATTGCTTGTTGAGCTTGCTTCACGTGGGATAAAACTGACAGGTGTTTGAAGAGATACCCAACCTATATGAGTTCCTTCTAGGAGCTGATGTACATGGAAGCATTAACTGGAAGAATTGAGGTACTTACATCTGGAGTTTCAGCTGTAGAGACTTTACTAGGTTGGACAATTTTAGGACTAGGCAAGTGGTTAATTTGGTCACAATCTTCAAAATTCTGAGTTTCCGATGATATGGGAAATTAGAAGGCATCATAGAAACTGTTCTAATGAAGCAGCTGTTACAGCTCAGTCATTATCTCCCTCATAGGTCTGTTATCAAGCCATCCAGCAGTATTACGAAAGTTCACTCAGTGTTCGACGCTTCTTTCAAGCAGCCTGGATATGCTTCTTTAAACGAGCGTTTGAGTGTTGGACTGAGTCCGATACATCAGATGGTTCCCATACCGGGAATCGAACCCAGGCCGCCTGGGTGAAACTCTTGGGGCCTTCTGATAACGAGATTATGGAAGATATAAAGGTAACTCAAAGCGGTTGTTGAGTAGTGCCTGTTAAACGGATGAACTTATGAACTGTTATTGACTTTTTTTCTTAGACTTTGATAATTGTAATGTCATTTGTGTGTTTATTGCTCTTTGAAGTTATATTTACACATTTACAGTTCTTAGTTCAGTTTCATGTTGAAATTTATGTCTATTATATATGTACACATTTTCATTACTTCATTTTGCATTGCTTTAAGGAAAACATGCCTGCAATGCAAAGGGGGGGAAGATGTGACTCCTATTAAGTTTAGCATTCCTCGTTTCTTATTAATAGTTTGTCTGGCAACCAGTTTTAGTTTTGAATATGATGATCGGGAAATTCCCGTTCTAAGCAAGCAGCAGTTAAGTTACGGAAATACTGAATGTGTTTCATCATTAAGATGTACGGATCATTTGATCACATTCTAAGCAGTTATGTTACTAAGATACTGAATGTTTTTCATCATTAAGATATACGGATCATTATACTAAACATGTAAATAAACGCATTTATCTGTATGTGTTCGTCAAGTGAAATAAATTGGATATAAAACGAAGTCTGATTTTGAATCAAAACATGTCCCATGAGCAAGACTAATCAAAAATTTCTGATGCTCATCAGATATAACTGGTTACAAGTTGCTTTCTTTTTCCACTCATATTTGGCCACAACTCTAACATTTGAGAAGCATATCAATTAGTTTCTCTGGTTAGAATTTTAAACAATTCATCTGAAAAGTACAATTTAATAAAATCAACAGCAAGGTAGTTTCCGAAAATTCATTCTTTATACCAGGATTACCAGCAAAGCTCAATATGTTAGCTTTGCCATGTTCATTTGGCTGTCTCCATTCAAATGAATTATTAGCGTTGCTTTTGAAGTCATTGACAACTATATCTTCATGAAACGATTGATTAAAATTTCTTTTTTTCATATTTCTTTTGCATTTGAACAGTCCAAATCTGTATTAGAAAAACTTTCCTCTTCTAAATTTTTTAGTATCTTCTTAATTTCGTCCTGACTGAGACCTTTGAAACAAGGTGCCATTATAAGAACTGAATAAGAGTGTGAGGAAAAAAGTTACACTGAAATCACAAAAAAAAGTTCTAATGTTTGAAAGAGAGGTAGCATCTGCTTTATTTTCAAGTACACTGGCACAAGATGAAACCTACGGTCTTCGCCAAAACGTAGCCAACCATATAAGAAACGGGAAACAATGCATAGCTAGGAGCTGCTCTGAACAGGCAACTGGGCCACCTAAAGAATCTAAAGATAAACAATTACTCTAAAACAGGGACAGAAATGTTTGTACGACACTTGTACCACAGCCGGCTTAAAAGCAAATAAATTTTGCGGTATACCAATTGTACTGCCGGCATTAGAAAGTTAATGGGTTATAAAACATTTTATTGAAAGGTTGTACTTACAGCAAGTGTTCGAAATTACGAGCGGACATCATTTAGCGTGGAATTCATTACGTTCTGGAAGATTCCTGAACATCGCGGCAGGTACAGATATTCTAGCAATGAGGCTTTCAATTGAAGGAACAGACGTCTTGTTCACCAAATTCTTCATGTGACACCAGAAGTACATGCATGATAGGTCCAGTGATCTGGTAGGCCAATGTACCGGGCCAACATGATCTATCCACCGCTGTCTAAAGGTTACATTGAGGTGTTGGCGGACATCAGTCGTAATCTGTAGGAGCCCCCTCATGCTGGTACCACATGGAGCGGCGCAACAATGAAGGAACTTATGCTGCATCAAGAAGTTTAGGCAGAAGATCAGGTATGCCCTACCAATCTAAAGGACTGGGCAGAAGGTATGGTCCAATGAGGTAGCTTGCAAACATTGGCCACGAAATGCTCTTGAGCTGCACTTGGTTGCATTGTAATGAGTTTTCCACCCATGGGCATTATGTTGCTTGAAGGCTCCCCTCACTTGTGAAGTATGCTTCATCCATGAACAATACAGATGCAGCATTCTGTTGCAGGGACCATGTAGCAAACCTCATCCAGAGTCCATAATCCTTAGGCTCTAATAACTCGATGCGATGAAGATGTTATGAGCTCATTTGGTTTGCTGTGCATAATCCTCCAGACAATGGATTGAGATAAACCCACTTGTTGGGCTATCGCTCTAGTACCTTACTTGGATTGTCTTCTGCCAGACGTAAGACTGCCTCCTCATTGCCAGGTGTACTCGTCGTTTACGTTCGATTTATTGTAGCTCTCGTTAAACAACCAGTCTCACACAATCTTCTATTGACACTTACAAAGGTCGTGTAATGTGGAACATGCCTGTTCAGGTAATGTTCCGGTACAACCGCCCAGCAGTGTGTCCGTTACAGTCCCATGCTCCATGCATGATCAGCATGTTGACCAGTTCATTGAATACTCATTCATTCTACTACCCCAGGAAACAGATTGCAAATGGCGATGTCTAGCATGATCACTGTTCATGCATCCTTTTCTTCAGCACCATCTACCACAAGATTGCCAGGAGGAATCGTCCAGAATGTAAGGAATTCCATGCAACACCACTGTCAGGCCTGCCTGATGACTTCTTGTCGTAATTTTGAGCACCTGTTATAGTATAATTTTTTTAATAAAATGCTTTCTATCCCATTAAGCTGTTGCTGTTTCTTTTCTTTTTCTCTGCTTCTTTGCATCATAGCTCGCAACTACTACCAACCCTGCATTTATATGCGATTCCAAGTCATCTGTCAGTCTGGTAGTGAATCCCCCTGTATATGGTATTTTTAAGTTAAACATGTTTTTGTAAATTTTAAAACATTCTTTTCATGAGCTGCCATAACTTTGTCACTTCATTATCAAATACAAAAACAATACATAATGAAAAATGTTTCCTTACCAAAAATAGTGTTTTCTTTGTTGTATTCTCCAGAACTATCTATTCGTACCAAAGTACCAAATGTAGCATCATCCATTTTTTCCCGAAATTTGAGACAAAAATCGTGCCATTTCTGCAAAATGGAAAAAATTTCAATGCAGTAAAAGAAGCTTAAATTTTGAAAATATATAACAAAAATGTGACAGATTTTATTTAACAGTTTTGGCCATGAAATCTTGAAGTTTCGTGGTGGTATAATTGGTATTTTTTTATTAGAATTCCAAATTGACCCTCTCACTCCACACTTTGTTTCTTCCAATAAACATCCAACTCTGCAGATCCATCAGGAGTTGGCAGAAATTTTCATGTGTAACTAACTGGAAAACCATCCTTCTACGTGGAATTTAATGCTCATCTTTGAGGGTTAAACGTATTAGCGCTGAATATTTTCAGACTTAAGAGTACACACTAATTGAGATATCCACAACAGCATTCTGTGCAGTAGATAAAGTAATATTAAATATAAATAAAGTTGATCTTTCTGAAAGTGCACGACAATCGGTGTAATGGTAATGTTTTAATGATAGTCAATTCTTACGTATACAAAACAGATGCATCAGTTTCTCAAGTGACAACAAAAACATTTCATATGGAAAGTATATCAAAATTAGTGCACCCTTAATGGACATACCATCTTGTACTTCTGATTCAACATGGTTTTACTTAATGTGGTTTAAGATCAGCAGAGGGGGGTAGCTTTAATTTTCATAAGCTGTACGCTTTGAAAGTGAAAGCAGAGAGACAACAGTCCAAAATACATCTCAAACACACCTATACTGTCTTCTCGCACATCTACATGCTCAGCTGATGAGCAAGGAGGAATAATGCTCAGAAAAACCTTGTATTCTCAGACTGAAGAAACATTTCATACTCTGAGCTTATTTCCAAACTTGTTTTCGAAAACAGGTTGTAGGAAATTTTGCCTGTCAGAGTATTCGATTTAATCTTTCTGTCCATACCTGTACTCAGAGTTGCTACAACGAAAGATAATTGAAAAGGACAGAAGTTACGCTTTGCTCACTGTCATATTAGCTCTCTTCTCACAGTTCTTAATAATAATGGTCCAAAAACATTATAGTGTTAATGCTATAAGTACTTGGAAAATTATGAATATGCTGTTGTTGCAAGAACAATTTTTTTCTTCTACCATTCATTGAAACAGTATGTTATGTGCACTTTCTATTTCTCACTTGTCTTTTTTAAGTTAAAGTCAAAATTCCTTATTTCAACAGATATGAGAGAAAGTTTAATCTACTCTATGATATATTTTGTAACATGGTGTATTGCATAGCTATGATGTATTTGTCTACATACATATGCCTATGGTGTATTACATGGCAAAGATTTTCAAAACCTTACTGTCCAAGGAATTTATTTTGGCCCATCTTTTAAAATCTTCCTTTCTGTATGAAAATGAGGTGAGATATGGCATTCTTACTGAAAATACTTGCATTGATTTATCAGAATGATACTGTTCTATGAAACTTTGCATGTTTAAGATCTAGAGACCTCTTCTGAAGTACGTCTTTAGATGAGGTCCTTCTCAAATATCTTCTACAGCTGCATCTGAAATTGTTCAAGTTTTTCTTGGTGAGCTCATTTTTATTATCTTTAATATCTCATTATTAACTTCCATGCCTAAATTTTTGCCTAGGTATATGTATCCAATAATAAAATAATCTCAATGTCAAAGTCCTCAAATTTCTACGTGCAACTCATTTACCTGCATGTTAAATTGATGTCATTCTACTTGGCGGGCTTTTGTTAATCAATTAAATCAAGCAATGAAGATTATTAAAATGATGTTTCCAGAAGTCCGAGTGTTGTGTTAGGCACAATGTACGGGGTGGTTATGAAGTAACTTTTCCTTGTTTTAAGACATCTGCAGTTAATGAACGGAATGAAATCAAATTTTATATATGGACTGTGGAAGGCATGTGCAGATGAAGTCTACCAAAAAATATTTTAGTACCAAAAGTTGTCAACAGGAGAGCTGTCACACACGCACTAGAAAATTTGCACAATCTATGGTTTTTCCTTGTGTCCTTTGTAAGAATAAATAAATGGTAATATGTAAATTATATAAATTTCCTAGTATGTACATGGCAGCAATACCACTCATTCCTTTAAAAGGGGGGCTAAGACTGAGTCAGCAGATTTTTGGCTGTTGACCTGCAATTAATGTGTCCTACTTTACCTATACGTGCTTTTCTCATAAAGCTGTTTCATACTAGAGTCCAATGCTGCAGCAGCTCTTAGGGAGTATAGAAGGCCGTAAAATGTGTGTAAAAGTCCACTGTCTGCTGTAGCATTGAAAAGATATGATTAAAGAATTTGAGGAAACTGGATAGCTGAGTGTTAAGAGCTAGCAGGGGATGAAAATCAGCATCAGATGATGCAGTAACATAAGTTGCCACAGCAGTATTTGATGGACAGGTGGTCCAAGTGCTCGCCAAACTGATATGCCTTATCCTATTGTGAGGAAAATCTTACAGAAAAATGCTGCATTTCTATCCATATACGATCAGTCGTATGGAAGAAATAAAAACGACAGGTTCTGATAAGTGCCTGACTTTCACACTAATGTTTTTTGCTCAAATAGAAATCAATAATTATTGGCCTTGTCGAAAATGCTGCATAAAGATGAGGCTTATTTTTATCTGACTGGTTTCATAATTACTCACAACTGTTAAATTTTGGAATCTGAATGTCCAAAAATAAACCATTAAGTGCCACTGCATTTTGCAAAAGTAACAATTCATGGCTGATTTCAAAACATACTTTTTTTTTTTACTAGGGCCATACTTGTTTTGAGAATATCCCTTTTCCATGTTTTGTATCTTCACTGTTACTAGTAAGAAATATCAGTAAATGATGCAGACTTTAATCATTCCTGAATTTTAGCTAAAACAATGCTTAGATTCTACAAATTTTTTATGAACAATGCAACACAGCTACATATTCTTTGTTCAGTACAGAACCTTTTACTTCAACATTCCATAAAGAGAGTTATTAGTTGATATTTTCCAATGGACTGGCTGCCTTGTTCCCTGGACATCAACCCATGATTTTATGCTGTGGGGATACCTTAAGTGTGTTGTGTATACCGGTGGTATTACAAACCTGAGTTCCTTGAAAGAGAATATGATGGGCTGTTACAAACATCCAAACTGATAATTTATATACAGTAGCAGAGAACGTCATACACCAGATGCAATATTGTGTACACAGGGAAAATCAGCACATCAAAAATATTGCACATGGTCGAGGGGTACTTAATATTGATTAATAAAAGATTATTTTGGGTGAGTTTTGTACTTCATGTCATTCAGTCCTGTATGTGCAATTTTTACTACTGAAACATTAACGGAATTTAGCATAATCCTCTTTCCATACAATCACTATAATTGTTGACCACTTTTTAATTCCAAAAAGCACTAAAAATCTCTCATATTGGTGATTTCTAATACCTTTTCCTTTACTTTTTCTTTCTTTCTTTTTTTTAGTGAAATTTATCTCTTGATACCTTTTAGTCTGTATATGAAATTTGGCTTCATTTTATTCATTATTCTGAAGTCATCTGGAGGAGATGACTTCAGACGGGGAAAATTATTTTATAACCATTCTGTACTTAATTCAAATTTCAGTGTGTGTGTATATATATATATATATATACATTGTGTAATGTTTAACTGATAAATTACACACATCATGCCATTGGCAACATTAAAATGTACCATTTGCTGCATTGTGCATTTTCTATCCCTTAAGTACAAAATTGACATATTAGCCTAATCCTCTAGATAAAATAGAGAAATAAGAAAAAATATTGTACTGTATACTTCAAGGGATGATAAAATTACAAAAGTCATGCTGTCAATTGAAGTACTGAAACAATAATGCAGATCATATGTGCTTGTGCCTATAATCAGGATTATTGCAGTAAGATAATTATGGGCTTCTTATTTCATCGCATTACAACCCAGTCACACTTTACATGTGTTTGTAATTTAGCAATCATATATGCCTTTAATTTTCAAAACTACAGAAGCTCTCACACCAACAAATAGAAGAAATGAAATATGAGTTAATGAAATAGTGCTGCTGTATGCTATGTGCTAAACACTTTCAAGAAGCATTATTTGCTAAGGAAAAACTTTTATGTAAATGCATTAATTTCAATATTATTTCTCTTAACACAGTTCTAATGAATTTGATTTTTCCCCCCAACACAATAGCATATATAAATTTTACAAATGGTAAAAGTAAAACTTAAGGAAAATAAGCCCTATGTATAAAATATGGGTTGTATGTTTTTCAAGTAGAAGATGACTGAACACTTCAAAGAAGTGTTTAAAAAATAGATGGTTATTATGAAACACATAATGTACATTTAAAATTCTAATTTCATAGTAATATTATGTGAAATTTATGAAAATACTTGCAAAATTATGCTGTACTTTCTGCAAAATGTAAGATCATAGATTAAATCACATAAAATGTAGGAACTCTGCTAGTTAAAAGTCTATGAATTAATGGCTTTACAGGTTTCCATATTCTAGCATTTCATCTGTCCTGCACTTTCAGTTTTTAGTGTTTCAAAAATAACTAAGGATGTTTCTCTACTTTAGGACTATTTTGAATATTCTGGAGCGTTTCCCCTTCATATTTAACTGCACTGTTTTGTTTTTCAATTTTCAGCCTTTGCATCAGAAGTTAGAGGTAATTCAGTGTCCTCACATTCATCACCAGTTGTCATCTCTAAATTTCCAACATGGTCTTTTATAATTATATCAGCTAACACTTACCCATTTCTCAAATGTCAGTGTGCTTTGATTTCCTTTCAAAATTCACAGTCAACAGTATATTCTACATCCTCAGGAAATTTTTGAATTGCATCTTCAAGCCTTACTAAAACATCACTGCTATTTAATGTGCACAATCTACAGCATGGTGAAACCATTTGTAATGACAACGTTTGAGAAATATCAGTATAAAGTATAAACAATGAAAAAGAACATTACTAAGGGTTTAAAGGAAGCATTCCGACAAAAGCTTTACGGTCAACTGGCATAAGAATCCAGACCTTACTCAAACCAAAGGATCATGGTATAAAGATTATGACTGAATGTTCTAACTTTATGCCAAGATGGTGTAAGAATCAAAAAAATCACAGCAAAGCAAATATGAATTGTCATATAATCGATAATTTTGCTATCAACTACACATTCACGAATGCACTAATTTACTTTCCTGATTGGCTACAGTTTATACCCTGTTAGACATAAGTAACATAGTAATAAGTGAACAAAGCTAATCGCTTTAATGGCTTACAACAAAGACAGCTGTTATAACTATATTAGCATCTGAATGCTCCCTTAGACAATCACTTAAAGGAAAGACCACAATGGTTTGTAACCATGAATAGTTATCACTCAAAAATAGAAGACGCTCTATCATTGACCTTGAAATTTCAAAAACATCCTAGACTGGGAACGCACATTCCATGTTACCAAACATATTGATTTATTTTTGTCAGTCTTAATGGTTCAGTCTAATGTAAAAATGAAGAATGCTGGCTAGTCCAGTCTTCCATTTACAAGACAAACTTAATGCTAATTAAAGTTCTTTATGTACTGGTTATAATGAATCTGTATCAAAGAAGGAAAGTCTAGATGAAATAGCTGTGAAAGCAAAGCAATAAATGAATGCAAATTAACCAGCAACTACCTCTGGAACTTCTTCGTTTTCTTACATAAATGTCAGATCAGAAAATATTTAATTAATTAAAATGAGGAAGCAGATGCTGCTAAATGAGGAGACATGACGTTTCACCTTGTAAATCCTTTCGCTTGCCATGTGAGCAATTTTTACCAGGTTAGGTTACTCTCAAGAATTTTGTTTTAAACTAAGATAAAATTATATCATCCTATATATAGGACACTGAGCACTAACAAGTTAACTCCAGAATTTTTGTTAACCAAGAAACACTAGAAACATTCACATACACACACACATATATATGTACATATAAATATATACATATACACACAAAAAAAAATCACTAAATCATTAACTTACTTTTTTACTTTCTGTGCTTTTCAAACTCTCCTCATCAAGTATATCAAGTTTAAAATCAGGAAAATCATTTTGGAAAGCCTCATATATTTCATTATCATAGGGAGTGAGTTTAAGTATTCTGGGATCCACTGAAGTAATCAGCTGAAATCAATCAAAAACATTTTTATGTTCTATCATACCTTTTTTTTTTTTTTCATTAATAATTAAATGTGAACTAACAAAAAATCTCTTAATCAGATTAATTTTTAATACAAATAATAAAAAAATAACCCTCAATTTGTGAAGAATGCTGGGAAAACAGGATATTAGAACATTTTGCATATGGTTAATCTTTCTAACTTAAGCTTGGCAGGCAGAAATTACTTGAGAAGTAGAACTCAAGAATTATAATACAACAACCATATTTACAAGAATTTTTAGTTTGTAATTTGATTAATTAAAGTGGTATTAAATATTTTTAATGGCTACTTCTCTCATTCTTTCTGTACAGAGAGATAACATACAAAATGAATCTGAAAAAGTGGGCAAACTTTTACAAGATGATAGAACGCAGCTATACAATCAATATTCTTCACAGAAAGTAATCCCCAAGCCACTAGGTGACACTGTAAATGATATAAAAAGGGTCGGTCGTTCCTTGGACTCAACTGCATTTTCTACTGTGAATTGCCGAGAGAATGGTTGGTTATATGAACTACAAAATGGCAGACATGCATTGTGGTATGGCAGACGGGAATGCAAATGAGGCAGACTTTACTGGGACCGATTTCTGATGAGACGCACTCAAAATCAGAACACATTTGAACATTTATTTACATTGCCAGCTATGTGAAATGGGACCTATTGCCGCAGCCAAACAAGATGCAGGGCATGAAAAGAGTTTTAGAAAACTGCAACTTGCAGAGGACACTCTTTGTATGGGGGAAAATCAACCGGGATGTAGCACGAGAGCAGTTCCCACGCTGTAAAATACTTCCCAAATGACGGTCTGGCATGTGCTACATGAGGGAGGAATATATAGCCCTAACATCACTCCTCCCTTTTTTCACACCTGCAGCTACATCTTGCTGGTAATATCTTCCATCCCACACAGAATGTCCGAAATGAGGTTCATCTGTGTTTGGACTCACGGCCACCAAGTTTCTGAGCCAAAGGCTTTGAAAAACTACCAAAACGTTGGCAGAAAATCACAGATTTTTTGGTGATTACTACCTGCACTAAAGATACTGCTTTCATGTTTGTTTTTTTTTTAATATTTTTTATTAAGAACTTTATTAAGAAAGCTTTTTGGTGGAAAACTTTGGTTACAACCAGATACAAATGTTTTTTCATCATGCATAACAATAAATCCATAAACTTCAAACATTTCAAAATGGGGAATTTACAGTAAAAGTATAGTTTCTAATATATTTATAACCTATAAAGTATTTCATTAATAACATAAAAAAATTAGCATACAAATTTAATGACTATTCTATTCTCATAATTACACATGCTATGCTTTCCTTTTTAAGCAACTTTTTATGTTGTTTACAGTATGTTGCTGATTATGCAATAAATAATTTAAATGATAAGTACATAGTAAAAAATAAAGTCTCACATATATACACAGATTTTAAAAAATTACTTTAAATTTTATTAAAAAAATTCCATTAATATATAACAATGATAGTATTTGTACACAGTACTCTGTGGGTCAATATGAAATATAACAAATTTGGTGAACTTCTGGCGACGAAAAATTCGTTACAAAAATGTCCTTTAAAAATTATTTAGACGGTTATATTACAGAGAACACAAATATATTTTTTTCCCCTTCAGTAAAATCAGCTTCCATTTCTATAATCCATGGCACCAAACTACTGCCATTAGCCATATTAGAAATTACTCGTGATCCTTCAGATGCATAATTTTCATCTCATTGGTTGACGTCTATGCGGGGCACAGATGAAAACAAAACATAAAACATTTTTAGCAAAGTTTCAAAATGTTCTGCGTAGCCAGGACATTGCTTCCCCGGCTACAGGGAATATTGCATTCAGTTGTGCTGCTTTTTCTCGAATCCCTCCCACTTAAACCAGTGCTACTAGAATCTCATTTCTCGGAAATGTCCTGCCTAGCCACGCATGTATCTAGATGTGATTATGGGCTTAAGCAAAAATATGAACTGCGACTGTGAGCAAAAACTCCGTGTATGCTGGGGAAATCTGGATGCGGAATCCCCCGTTTATGCATAAAGTATGGCTCGCGTCTCTTAATTTACACTTGTATTCTTAGTTTGCAATCTACGCTACTTAAATAAATATATGCATTTAAACTTTTATGTTCTCATGCTCCTGTTTTTCAGGATAATCTGGGACAAAAGCTATAAATTCGAGACCAAGAAACGAGTTGGAAAAAATCAGGACAGGGACTAAAAATTCGGGACACCTGGTCACTAATCTGATCTTACATGTACTTAATATGTTTAATCAGCTAATTTTTAGCTAAATTTAATTTACAAATGCTTAATATGTTTAAACTGCTAAATTTGGTTATACATATTTTCTGTTTTATTTCAAAGCTTAACTGAATATTGCTAAATGCATTACCATTGGTGAGCTTGGCGACAAAAAAAAAAAAAAAATGCACTGTTGCCAACAAGTTTTTTTGTGGAAACTCATAAACTTTTAAACACAAATTATTAAATAATTGAAATAATGAAAAATTAAGTTCAGAACAAATAAATATTTTTGTATTTGGCAAACAAAGTCACTTTTGTTAATGTAATTTAGAGTATTAGATTTCTTTGTGCAATTTCGAAGCCCCAAAATCATGAAATATCCATGCTGCCAATGTTGAAGATATTAATTTGAATTTTTTAACAACACACAATAATGTGATTCAAAAAACATCAATAAACTTCTTTTAAGTTTAACAGAGCAAATACGATGGAGTGTGAATTGAATATACATTTAAAATAATTATTTAATAATGTGTAAAAGATCACAAAGTTTTACTTACCAGAATATTAACTGAAGTGAACAAGAGAAAAACTAATTATCTGAAAGTTGGAGCTCTCCAAACCAAAAGGCAGGAGAACATTTGAGTCACATTCTCTGGACTCTGGAGGTTTCTGAGAACTTGCTTTGCCATTCTGAAAGACAATCTAATTGACGCTGTGAAAACTGGGTCTATGCTAACTGCTGAATGATGCTCAAGTGATATGTAATTTGCCAAGAAAGTGTCCACTTTCAGCATTGGTGCAAAAATCACTTTTTGGGGTAATCAGGATATGAAATTCCCTGATATCTCCAGATTTGAGTTAAAATATTTTAATTCTCTGACATTTTTGGTCAATTTTCAAATTTCCTGACTTTTTCTGGTTTTCCAGGCAATGTGGCAACCCTGTCTCATTTTCTTCTAGCTCAGCGATTCTCAACCGGTGGCACACATATCACTGCTGGTAAATTTTTATCACCTTTCTGCAAAACCTATTTGTGTGAACAAGGCTTTTCTTCCATGTTCTATTTGAAAAATAAATACAGATGAAAATTAAAAGTGGATCCTATTTTATGGTTGAAATAAGATGAAATAAAAAAACTGATCTCCCTTAAACAGGCCCAAATTTCACACTAAATTTGAGAATTAAAGTATTATAACTTAAATTTGATAATTAGAATGGTAACCAATTTTCAATCTAATATGTGTGCACACATTGATAATAATAATCAATATGTGCATATTTAATAAGAATAACCAATAGATGTGTAAATGGCAAAATATTTTTTTAATATTTTTATTGAAAATTTTTAAAATAATCACTGTAAAATGTAATGGTGGTACTAAGGTTTTTAAATTTTTGTTTAGAGTCAGTGAGTCAAAAGGTTGAGAACCGCTGCTTTAGATCGTTATCAAAAAGTTCCAAATCACAAATTCTGGACTGAATTTCTCGTATTTCTTTTTCTGATAGAACTGTGGCTTTAAGCTTGGCAAAGTAGCTGTCAAAGATTTTATCCCATAAATTCTTTACTCAGTCATGAAATCTTGCAGTTTACACTCCATAACTCCATAAAGTTTCTGTGCTGATTTCTAACCTTTCTATTTTCAGTGCTTCACTTATGAATAGCTGTTGAATGGCTAGCTCACTGAAATACCAACAGTCCTGTAGGAATAATTATTTGATGTACCATTCTTTCTGTAATGAAGTTTTTCATATCTATAAGGTAGCGAGTACTGATTGGGTCAATTTAACTAATCTCAGCAGAATCTACTTTAAAACTCACTTTCTATAGCATGTTGACACTTATTATTTTATTTAAAAGTTCAAAAATAGATGCACTTATGTAATACATTTTATGTAGTTTTCCATAGCCAAATAGAATTCAAATGCCACCCTTTCTTCCTCAAGTTGTGCTCATTCCTGTCAAGAAAACTGCTTTTTTTAAAACTTCTGCATTTGGAATTACTCAATTGAACGTCATCCTCTAAAGACATAACCAATTACTAGTATTTAAGCTTTTAAAAACCCATTTGCCTAGATTTTTCAATAACACTTAAAGCTGCATTTATTCATTGTAACATCTAATTGCAAGCTTCTTGATCAATTACTTTATTAACTTAAATAAGACTATTGCATTAGATCACATGCTGTGATTTTTTTTAACAAACTAGATACCTCGCCGAAACAGATGGGATTCAATTAAAAATTTACATCGAGGTCTAAGACAAATGTTACATTCTTAAGTACTAATTCAATGGGAAAGTCAACCTATCAGTATTACAAATATTTATGAACACTTGTTAAATCCTGGTCTCTTATTAATGTCATTCAGATAATCAGTACCATGCAGACTTGTGATAAATGTATAAAATTATACAATTGCGATTATGCGTACTTTATGCAGCACCTAAAACTGGCTCAACCCGACTAGCAGACTTGTCTACACTGCAAAGCAGACGGAAGCACTAAATTAATTCAATTCTTTATAGCAGCTTGTGTGCACCAGTCTTCATCAGTTTGCAAGATGTATTTTAATTTTATAATGGTTATTTTAATTTTGAAACCCTTTCCTTTCAACTCTTGTTTTCCACTTACAACTCCCTATCAGAATGAGTTTTTAGAATCGTGTTGAATGTAAATGAGTTAGAAGAAGTATTTA